TCCTCCTTCTCCGTTCTCCTCCTCCTCCTCCTCCTCCTCCTCCTCTTCCCCCTCCTCCTCCTCCTCCGACGACGACGACGACGACGACGACGACTCCTCTTCCATCCTCCCCCTCTCGGGGTCTGTGACAGCTTCCCCCGCCCTTTGTTATTCTGCATGCTCCCCGGCTTCCCTGATCACCTTAACTCCCCTGAGCATCGTTTCTGGATGGGCTGGTGGGGATACGCGAAGCGTCAACAATTTGACCCGCGCTACAGCCCGCCCCCCCCCCCTGGAGGCCCGGAGCCTTCGAAACAACGACGGGGGGCTGTAGTGCGGGTCAAGCCTGACCCGCACTACAGTACCCCCCCTGGAGGTCCGGAACCTTCGAAACATTTTCGTTAAGATTGATTTTGAAGGTTCCTGGCCTCCATGGGGGGATGCTGTAGTGCGGGTCAGGCCCGACCCGCAGTACAGCACCCCACCCCTGGAGTCCGGAACCTTCGAGAAATTGTCGTTGAGATTGATTTTGAAGGTTCCGGGACTCCAGGGGGGGTGCTGTAGTGCGGGTCGGGCCTAACCCGCACTACGGATCCCCCGTCCCTCGGGGCCCGAAACTTTCGAAACAACTTCGTCAAAATTGATTTTGAAGGTTATGGCACTTCGGGGAGGGGGCTGTAGTGCGGGTCAGGCCTGACCCGCGCTACAGCACACACCCCTGGAGGCCCAGAACCTTCGAAGCGATTTCGTCAAAATTGATTTTGAAGGTTCTGGGCCTCCAGGGGGGGCGCTGATGGCCGCGTCGGGATTGACCCGCACCCAAAGGGGGGGGCCCTGCAGACCCTTTCTGTAGGGGGCAGATTACGCAGCTCAGCAGCGTTGAGCTGCAAGTCAACGCACACTGTGGCGTGGTATATATAGATGTAGCATAGCATCGATTAGCTTTAGTCTTGCCGAAACATGGGGCTTGCATGCGTTTAGTTACCGTTTCGCTGCTTGCCACTGCAGACCCCCCCCCCTGTGGGGGGCAGATCACTTCAGAGAGCCCTCAAGAAGAGACATGCTCACCACTGTACCCTGTCAGATCACCCAAACTACCCACAGGAAGGGCCTAGGATGGTAGATGGCTTAAGAAAGACCCATTCAAGGGAACATGTACTTTTGTGTTCGAGTATCACAAGAAAAACCACGATGCATCCAAACAGCGCATGGGATTGCATTACTTTCTATATCAGTTTCTATAGCATAGCGCAGCTCAGCAGCATTGGACTGCACATCAACGCACAATGTGGCGTGGCCTATAGAGATGTAGCGTAGCATCGATTAGCTTTAGTCTTGCCAAAACATGGGAACTGCATAAGTTTAGTCACCATTTCGCTGCTTGCCCCAGCGTAGCAAATATCACCGCATGGCGATACATGGCAAAGCATAATGTAGCATGGCATTGCGTCGCATATCACTGCAGCACTAGAGAGCAATGCACATGGCGGAACAGCACAACATAACGCGCCGTAGCATCGAACAAAAAAGCGCAAAAGCACACCACATCGCATCGCAGCGCGTCGCCCCGTGTAGGCTGGGTCAAGCGCGACCCGCCCTACAACATTCCCCCTCCCCTGGAAACCCGGAGCTTTCGAAGCCACTTCTGGCACGGTCGTTTTGAATGTTCTGGGCCTCCAGGGCGAGTCTCCTGAGAGAAGTATCAGTGCAAGGATGCGACCGGTGCCCGTCTCTAGTCGGTTGGAAGATACGAAAGGGCACCGGTGCCCTTTTGCAGTTTGCTCACAGAGTTGAAAGGGCACCAGGCAGATTTCGCGGAGTTATTAGGTGCGCCAAAGCCTCGTGATCTGGTGACGCTTGGCTCAAGTTTTTTTCGGACATATTGTTCTCCGAGTCTGGCCGTTGATGAATGTCATGGCACAGTTCAACAGTCTTGAACTGCAGAGCAGCGCAAAACGTTGCACAGTATGGAACGATATGGCATAGCGTAACATGGGAAGTGCATTCACTTAAGTACGCGTTCGTGGCTTACTTCAGCGTAGCAGATATCACGGCATGGCGTTCAATGACAGACCGTGACATAGCAAGGCATGGCATCACATACCACTCCAGCACTGTAGCGGTAGCAAAAAACACCACAACGCACCATAGCATCGAACAGAAACCCGCAACAGCATACCACATCACAGCCGTATCTCATCACACCTGAAGGGCGGCAGCGCCGGAACGAACTCCTCAAGCAAGCCTCGCAAGGGACACGAAGTGAACCCGCTGCAGACGCCCCCCCCCGCGGTAAGGGGTATGATGCCTGGGGGGGGGGTCTTGGGGAGGACGGGGGGGGGGACAGGGAGGATGAGGAGGAGGGGGGGGGAGGAGGAGGAGGAGGAGGAGGAGGAGGAGGAGGAGGGAGGAGAGGAGGAGGAGGAGGAGGAGGAGGAGGAGGAGGAGGAGGAGGGGGAGGACGAGGAGGAGGAGGAGGAGGAGGAGGAGGAGGAGGAGGGGACAGAAGGACGACGACCTGGACCTCCAACGTCCTGAGCAAGCCGAAGCAGTTCCCCCCCGACATTGCGGATGGGGCTCCCGTTGCGCATTCTCTTGCGGGGGTCTGGGGGAGCCCTTCGAAATCTAGCCTGGGCAACGGGCGGGGCGCCGGCGGAACCTGGCGGAAGTCTTGCGGCACGCGGCTGAGGCGACGCGGGCGGCCTCAGAAGGCCCCTAGAGATGGCCCGAGACGGTTCAGGATCGCCTCCAAGACGCTGCCGACAAAGATCATCCAAGATAGCCGCAAGGTGGCCCAGGACGGCCTCGAGAAAGCCTAAGAAGTCCAACAACATCGCCCAGGAGGACTCCCATAGGACCTCCACGAGGGCCCCCAAAAGCTTAAACCATAGATTCTCAAGAGGTTTTCAACGGAGTTGGAGTCCTCGAGTTCCCGGGCTGCCGACTGTCCACGGATGCCCTGGAGGCCTCCAAGATTCTTCCAAGATGGCCCCAATATTGCCCCAGAGCGCCCCGACGAGACGGCCCCAGAGGGCCCAAGAGGTCCCCCAGGCCGCCCCAGAAGGCCCCAAGAGAACCTCAAGACGGCCTAGAGAAGCCCCCACAAAACTCCCCAAGCGGCGCAGAACCCCCCACGCATACGCTCCGAGGAGGCCCCCAAGAAGCTTCCAGGAGGCCCCACCACGCCCGCACTCTGCACGTTCCGCGTGCACACCCCGCAAAGCGAGCGGAATCCCAAAGAGGCATCCCTGGAGAGCGCACGAGCTTTCAAGAGGCTTCAAGAGACTCCCAGGAGCGGCCCGAGACGCCCTACGAGGCTTTCGTGTTCGTTTACCCCCGACCTCCTGCCCCTTCCTCCTCACTCCTGCTTCTCCCCTCCTCCATCCACTCGCCTCCTGATTCTCTCGTTCCTCCTTCACTCCCTCTCTCCTGAACCTCCTCGGGGTTCGTGGCAGGTTTCCGCCATCTCAGCCTCCGAACGCCGTTTCTTGGACCCAGGGCTATCGAAAAACGATCGGGCATGGAACCATTAACAACGATCCCAGATGAAAATTCTGCCCTGGGGAAAGGGTAGGCGGTGGCAGGCGCCGCGCGCGCGCGACGCGCGCGGTCGCGCGAAGGCGTCGCCGTCGTCCGTCGTCGTCGTCGTCGTCGTCGTCGTCGTCGTCGTCGTCGTCGTCGTCGTCGTCGTCGTCGTCGTCGTCGTCGTCGTCGTCGTCGTCGCTCGTCGCTCGTCGTCCGTCGTCCGTCGTCCGTCGTGCGTCGTGCGTCGTCCGTCGTCCGTCGTGCGTCGTGCGTCGTGCGTCGTGCGTCGTCGTCGTCGTCGCCGTCGTCGTCGTCGTCGTCGTCGTCGTCGTCGTCGTCGTCGCCGTCGTCGTCGCCGTGGTCGTCGTCGTCGTCTCCGTCAATGTGCGTCGTCCCGTCCGTCGTTCGCCGTCGTATTTGCCGTCGTCCACCGTCGTCGTCGCCGTTGTCGTCAACCGTCGTCGTCGTCGTCGACGCCGCCGCCGCCGTCGCCGCCGCTGCCGTCGTCGTCGTCGTCGTCGTCATCGTCGTCGTCATCGTCGTCGTCATCGTCATCGTCGTCGTCGTCATCGTCGTTGTCGTTGTCGAGGTGGTTGTCGTCGGCGTCGTCGTCGTTCGACGTCGCCAGGCGCAAGTTCTTTGGACGCTTCGGGCGGCTCTCGTCGCCACGGCGAGACGCAGCCCGAAAAATTGGCCGGGATGGACCCCCGGAGGGGTTTGGAGACCGAGGTTGCGCGGATTTTAGTCGTCGTCGGTTGTCGTCGCCGCCGCCGTCGCCGTCGCCGAAAGCCGTCGAGGGTCGTCGAAAGCCGCCGATGACCGCCGAAGGCCGCCAAGAGCCGCCGAAAGCCACCGAGGGCCGCTGAAGGCCGCCGAGGGCCGCCGAAGGCCGCCGAGGCAGAGGACTGTAAAAAGACGATGTCTTCCCAACAAGCAGACCAAGGAACGGTGAGAAGACCACGTCGGCCGTGACTCGCTGCCCGCACGAGACGGCTCGGTGCGTAAGGTGGCATGGTCCCCTGAAGCCTTCAGGAAAACCAGGACCAGCCCTGCCGAATCGAGCGGCATGCGCAACTGGAATGTTACGAATACGACAAGCCCAGGGCGGGTGGACACAAGGTCCCATGGGGTTCACGGGCCACACGACCCCACCTCCCGACCAAAAGGCCGCCGAGGCAGAGAAGGAGGAGGAGGAGGAGGAGGAGGAGGAGGAGGAGGAGGAGGAGGAGAGGGAGGAGGAGGTGACAAGGAAGAGGAGGAGGAGGAGGAGGAGGAGGAGGAGAAGGAGGAAGTAGTAGGACGTGACAAGAGGAAGGAAGGGGATGAGGACAGGAGGAGGAAGTGGAGGAGGAGGATGACGAGGAGGAAAAACGGGACCAGCAGCAGGAGGCGGAGCTGGCAACAGGATCAAGCACATAGGGAGCCCACTTAGCAGAACAGAAGCCCACTTAGCAGGAACACGATTTCCCTACCCCCTTGTGCGCGCCGCTAAGAAGGGTTGCGTGACGCTGTCCAAGCTGGAGGGCGACAGGCGCGTGGCGAAGCGGACCCTCGGGCCCGGCGAACACTTCGGCGAGCTCGCCCTGCTGGACGGCGCCCCGCGTACCCGCAGCGCGCAGGCCTGCGAGGGGGCGCTGGAGGTGCAGGCGCTCGGCCGCGCCGACTTCGAAGGGCTGGGGCTGCGGTGGAAGCTGAAGCTGAAGCGGAGGGCTCCAGGCCTCCTGGATGGGGTCGGAGTAGGTGGGGTCGGCAAACCTTCCTAAAGCCTTCCTCTGGAGGGTTTTTTGTTGGAAGGACCTGAAGCCTTCCTAAAACCTTCCTCAGGAGGTGGGGTCGGAGGATCGCGCCGCATCGTCGATGCATCGGCGGTGTGGCTCGATGTAGAGCCCGATTCGCTTCATGCCGACGTCGCCGAAGCATCGCCGACGTCGCCGATGCATCGACGATGCGGCGCGATCCTCCGACCCCACCTCCTCCGACCCCATCTAGGAGGCCTCTAAGGGCGAGGAAGAGAAAGAACGGCACAGGCATACAGTCGAGCATCTGATTAAGAAACCTCCTCCCGAAAAGCCGGGCCAGCGTTTCTCAACCATCTTGTTGGGATGTTGGCCCAGTTTTTTGAGCACGTTCGCCCAGCAGAAAGTGACCCAGGCCTGTTTTCAGAAACTTCCGGGAAGCTGGCCCAGATTTCTTGATTGATTGTTTTCTTGTTCATATCTTCTGCTGTAAGCCTTCGACTGTCCGCGCGGATTCCTTGGATCTGCGGTGCGCCCCACCAGCAGCGCCTCCAGCGCTGCCCCTGGCGCGGCGCCCCTCGGGCGTGTCGAAAGGGGGGGGGGGGGCGACGAACCGGGGGGTGGAAGAAAGGCGCACCTTTGGTACATCATACGGGCTCCAGAGGGGCCCCCCGGGGCACGAAAGGTTCACCTTTCCCCCCGCCCTCCCCCCCCACCCCCCCCGATCAGCACCCCACTGAGCAACGCCCAAGCTCCGCGCCAGGGTGGGAGGTCCAGCGCCGATGCAAGAAGTCCGCGCGGAGCGTCGAAAGTTTGTGCCTCTGCGCCCCTCTCCTTCAGGAAAGCCATGCGGCAGGCCGACACCGACCAGGCCGGGCCCGCGGGCACCAGCTGCGCCAAGACGCCCGAGGAGGCTGCCCTGGTCCAGGACGCCATCCTCCGGAACGAGCTGCTGGGGCCGCTGCTGCAGACCCTGGACCCGAGCGCGCTGGGCGACATCGTCCAGAAGGCGCACGCCCAGCAGTTCGGAGCGGGGGCTGTTGTGATCCGGCAGGGCGAGCTGAGAGCCGACACGTGTTATGGAGTGGTGCTGCCGCGGTCGCCCGCCGTGCACGGAGGCGCTCTCAGGGCGGCCCTCTCGTAGCTCGCCCACGGGGTGCTCGAGTGTGGACTGCGAGCAGGTCTGGAGAGTAAGGGGTGGAGTGTGCTGGATTTGCAGAGGAGTGAGCCTGAGTATGGGTGATTCTGGGTATGCGTGAGTTCGAGCAGGAATGGGTCTGAGTAGGAGCGTGTCCGAGTTCGGGTGCGTTCGAGCATGAGTGGATCTGACTGAGTACGAGGGTGCCTGAGTCTATGAGGGTCTTGGTGTGGGTGAGTCCCGCTATAGTCGAGTCTGGGTAATTATGGGCATTTCTGAAAACTTAGTCTGAGCATAGGTAAAGTCTGACTACGAGTGGGACGTTGAGCGAGTGAGTCTGAGTGTCAGTGTGAGCGAGTCTGCACATGATCGGTCGAGTATGATTGGGCGCGATAAGGAAGGCGGCGAGGGAGAAAGGCGAAAGCGAAGCTGCGGCGTGGGCCTAGCGCCAACAGCAATCAGCGCATATCAATACGTGAGGCATTGTCATCAGGTGATGGAGGAGTTGCAAAGCAATGCGCTCCGAAAAGAGCCCGAGTTCTGCCCGTGCTCCGTGACGGGAACCCCTTGCTATCAATGTCTGCCTCCGCGAGACCCAGGAGAGAGGACCTGCGGTGGCCCGAGCCACGCCCCGCGCCGCCCGCGCGGCCGCGGACATTGTGCAGCAGGGGCGCGTGCAGGTGGTCGTGGACGACAAGGTTCAGGAGGGAAAGAAAACACACAGACACAATTAATCGTTGATTCCCCGGAAAATATGCGAAAATATGGGAAGTGGGGGGGGAAGACAAAAACCCAGGAAATATGGGAAAATATGGGGATTTGTTTTATTTGTGTGTATTTATTTGTGTGTTCTGGGGCCCCTTTAAAGGTCAAGGCGTCCGAGGGTCCGGGGTACTCCTTCGGAGAGAAGGGCCTGCTGTGGAGGCACGCGCGCACGGCGACGGTGCGAGCTGCCACGCCGGCCAGGCTGTGGGTCCTGTCGCGCCAGGCGCTCCGGGCCGCCCTGCAGGCACCCCTGAGGCGCAAGCTGGAGCGCTTCTCGCGCCTGGTGGACAGCGTCGAGATCTTCGATCACAGTGAGGGGAGACGTAAGACCAGAGTTCACCCAAACTCGCGCCTGCCAGCGCCTGGTAAAGTTCCCGTAGAGAATCAGACAGTCGAGTCTTCGTGCGACGTTCGCAGCGGAAGCTGCTCGCGTCAGATTTCAGGCCAGGTTGCGTGCGTCTTGTGACGGCCCCGTCAAGCACATTCGAGCCCCCCCAGAAAACTCGAGTCTGTACGTCGCCCCGACCCATCAGCGAGCCGGAGGAGCGCGAGGCCCTCGCCGAGGCCCTCGTGGAGACCGAGTTCCACCGCGGTGAGTACATCGTGAGGCAGTCAGGGGCAACATTGGGGGGGGGATGGGCTCGGGGGGGACCGCATCGACCCCCAGTTGCCCATTGATCGCCGATAGGTTTGTGGAGGTCGATGATGGAAAAGAAGTGTGCTGCCAAATAATTGCCAGACGTGACAGAAACATGCTTATAACATGTTTTACACAAGTTAAACACATCGTTAGTTCAATGATAGGATTGTTAGAGTGTCCATTGTCATGGCATCCACAACGATAGGGGCCTGAGACCACGCCCCGCCCGGGAGCCTGCGGACTCGCTGTCGGCGGCCTCTCGCCGAGCCATCGGCGACGCCCCGCCGACTCCAGCTCGACGCTCCCTCCCCGAGCTGGTCGTCCCCCTAACGTGAAGTCGGGCGTGTCCCCCCACAGGAGGAATCTTCAAAAAGAGTCAAACAATACGCTTTTGACGGTTGTTCGATTATGTTTGTTTATGTTTGAGTATGTTTGGCTATCTGCCATGTTTCTAATTCGCCCGTAGGAGGACATGCCCGGCCTAACCCTAACGTTGCCCCTCAGGCAGGGGGAACCTGGGGACTTCTTCTTCATCCTGATAGAGGGAGAGGTCTGGTCTCGACCTAAACGGTGCGGGACCTCCATGGCAAGTTTTTTGTAGTTCTGCATCTTGCTCAAAGCGACTCCTCATAAAGCCAAGATCCCATGACTTGGGGGAGAAAGTGGAAGAGGAAACGAAGGATGAGGAGGATAACATCAGGATGAGGAGGAAGAGGAGGATGGGGGTGAGGATGAGGATGCGGAAGAGTAGGAACAGTAGTGAAAGACAGGAGGAATGAGCAGGATGAAGATGGGAGGTGGTGCGGAGGAGGATCAAGCGTTGGAGCGTGGAGGATTTCGAAGCAGGTGCGGGAGGAGTGAATCAGAGGAGGCAAGGAAGAGGAGGAGATGGGAGGGGAAGGGAGGGCATGGGGAGGAGGGGAGGGGAGGGGAAGGGACAAGAGGAACGGGGAGGGGAGGGGGGAGGGGATCGAAAGGGGGCCGGAAGAGTGATTGAAGGAGACGGTCTTGTGGAGGGTTGCCTTGGGACGTCCTGAGGCCTCGGAGGCCCCATGGATCCCCGGAGCTACGGGAAGTTCGATTTTGCCTGCCCAGGGTTACACGTTGCTGCCGCCCTACCGTCCACAACAGACATTGGGTGCATCATCGAAAGCTGGAGACGGTCCTGTGGAGGGCTGCCTTGAGCCATCCTGAGGCCTCCGAGGCCCCATCGTTCCCCAGGCTGCGAGCAGGTCGGTTTATTCTTACCCAGGGTGATATCGTCAGCGCATACACATGATTGCGATTTTACCTAACAGCGAAAATTGATAGGTTTCTAATAGGGTCAAAAGAGAGCATCTGATGACTCCCCAGGGGGGTCTGGGCGGGAGCCGGACAGGCGAGGGCCGGGCTCGTTTTAAGCAAATAGTCACACACTTCGTGCTCTTCGACCTCCCAGAACTCCATTCCCGGGCCACATTTTGAATGCCCGGAGCCAACTGTAGGCCACTTCGTGCTCTTCGACTTCCCAGAACTCCATTCCCGGGCCACATGTTGGATGCCCAGAGCCAACTGTAGGCCATTTCGTGCTCTTCGGCTTCCCAGAACTCCACTCCCGGGCCACATTTTGGATGCCCGGAGCCAACTGTAGGCCTTTCGTGCTCTTGGACTTCCCAGAACACCACTCCCGGGCCACATTTTGAATGCCCGGAGCCAACTGTAGGCCACTTCGTGCTCTTCCACTTCCCAGAACTCCACTTCGTGCTCTTCCACTTCCCAGAACTTACTATTACTTTTGCTGCTGCTGTTGCTGCTGCTAGTGTAGCTATTGCTATTACAACTACTGGCAGTGCCACTGCGACTGCCGCTGATGTTGCCACTGCGACTGCCACTGCGAATCCGAATGCGACTGCGAGAACACCAGAATTCTACAACAGCGCTCTTACATGAATACCACAGGCAATGTTTCCAGCTATGCTTCTACACATCGCTGTTAGGTTGCTTTGCCGGGATAATTTTCTCCGCACATGCGGTTCACTCGTTCGCCGTCTTTTGGCCTTGGATTACCACGCTCCCTTCATCGTCGCCTTGGCAGATGGATAGGCGCTCGCTCGTGGTATTGATGGGGGCGTTGTCTGGTAGGCTTTCAGGAAAGCAGCAGGCGAGGCAGCCAACAGGGCAGCCAACGAGGCTGCCAGCGAGGCGGCCAACGAGGTAGCCCACGAAGCAGCCAACGAGGTAGCCCACGAGGCAGCCAGCTAGGCAGCGAGGCGGCCGACAGGGCAGCCAGCAAGGCAACCAACGAGGCCACCGACACAGCACCCATCAAGGCAACCAACGAGGCAGCCAACGAGACAACCAACAAGGCAGCCAACGAGACAACCAACAAAGCAGCCAACGAGGCAGCCACCGAGGCAGCCAGCAAGGCTGCCAACAGGCAGCTGAGCAGGCAGGCCGCCAGGAACCAGGCAGCCAACGATACTGCCAGAGGGCAGCCGACGAAGCAGCACCGAGGGGGGATCCCAAAATGGATCCCCCTTACGCACCTGCACGCATGTCGCGCAGATCTTGGCCGTTTTCAAAGACAAAAGCCATTCGAACTCATGGCGCCACTGATGGAAAATGGCATCCGAGATATAGGGCGCCCTCATTCAATGGACTGCATCCACTTGCATGATGCCCCCGTTGGAAGGATCAGCGTTTTCTGGATCGAGCGCATTCCGTCGTTGTCTCCACAGCAGGGGAATGGCGCCGAAATCATTCACTCGTGGTTCTCCCGACGAACCCGTCGCAATGCGCCGCTTGCATGACGGCGGCATGTGCGTCAAGAGAACCGCCGCGGTTTTGAGCCCCTCCACGGGCGCCGTCTCGAAGCACCTGTCCAAAAAGAACGCGACCACAAAGTCAAAGGGCCGCCCAAAGCATCCATCCGCACCCCCAAGAGTTTTCTCGCTGCTCAGCGCGCTTACAAGAATCTGCTCAAGTCCTCTGGCGGCGCAAAGGAAGAAAGGCAGCTGTGCTGAAGTCCGAGATGAAGTTGAACTGCGACATCAAGTCAGTGCGCCGCGCGTTTGCTGAGAATGGCTATCAGTTCCGCCCGCTGTGCGAGAAGCCAGACCTTTCGGACGGGGACAAGAAGGGGCGCCTGCTGTGGGCCCGCGAGCGCAAGCACCGGAGCCCCAGCCAGCGGTCGCAGTACGTCCACGCGTGCATAGACAACAAGGCGTTCCAGGTGCTGCGCAATGCGAAGCGCAGGAAGGCGGCGGCGAAGCGCAAGGTTCGCGGGGCGCACAGGAAGCGCAAGCGGGGCTTCTCCGTGGGCCACGTCAAGCCGAGCAACCCTAAGATTCTCGGGCTGGCGCAAGTCGGCGACCGCGCCGTGGCCATTCAGCGCCAGGTCAGTGGCCAACGGCGCGTTCTGATTCGGCTTGCCCCCAGGTTCTGAAGCAGAGTTCGGGCAAGGGGCCCGTGACCATAGCGCGCGCCATCGGCGCGGGCAAGGCGTTGATGCGGCGCCCGGTGGTCGGCAGATGGAACGCCGCAGCCGCGGAGCGAATGTATTCGGGGGCGCTCCAGCCCGCTTTGAGGAGGGCCTGCCCTTCCGTGCGCGGCAAGTTCCGCGCCGTGGAAGACAACGACCGCGCGGGCTGCAAATCCCGCCCGGGCATGGCGGCGAAGAAGTCCGCTAGCATCCAGACGTTGGACTCTCCGAAGCAGCCCCCTGGTCTGCTGCCGCGTGATTTCGCCTTCAGGGCCAACCTGCGCACGCGCATGAGGGTGCAGGAGAAGGACTGGCCCGCGAGCAAGACGGAGACGCGGGCGCAGTGCCTGGCCCGGCTGCGCCGCACGGCGTTGGCGACGCCTTCTGAGTACATCCGCAGCATCGTGGGCAGCCTGCATCAGCGCTGCGGCTTGCTGGTCGAGGCGAAGGGCGGCCGCTTCGCCAGGGGCGGCGGGCAACCGCGGCGCAGCCCGCAGCGGGCCGGGACGGCGGGCGGCCCGTAGCTGCCCGTGCCTCGGTTGCCCCGCGCGAGCGACATGGGGCGCGGGAAGGGGGCCAGCCGCGGTCCACGATCAAGACCAATCCGCGCGTCCACCGCCCCTGCGGCTGCAGGGCCAGCAGGGCTGCTGAAGTGCTTATCTTCGCATTATGATTCTGTCCGCCGAGGCCCCCCAGGCGCCAGCGCCCTGGCGACCCCAGAGAGCCGCGCGCGCGATACATGCAGCAAACGCATAGTGAACCAACCGTGAACCAACAGTGAACCTTCGTAAGAACCACAGTGAACCTCCAATTCGATTAAAAAGAATACGGAACTTCTTTCTTACAGAGATCGAGGTTCACGATGTAATTTGCCATTGTTCACTGGTGGCTCACTGATGGCTCACTGTAGGTTTAGCGCGGTTGTTTTATGCGTGTTTGCACATGTCCAACCATGCCGCGCGAGCGGCATCTATGGCTATGGCCAGGGTCCGCCGGCCCCGCCCAGAGGTGCAGGGGGTGCGCCGCGGGGGCCAGGTGCGCCAAGCGCGCCGCGTGCGACAGGTGCGCGGAGCGCGACAGGTGGGCCACGTGCGCCAGGTGAATACGGCGCGCCCAAGTGCGACAGGCGCGCGGATGACGCCAGGTGCAACGAGCTCTCCAACTGAGCGGCCAGGCGAAGGTGCACGATGCCCCCGGAGACAACGACGGTCCGCAGTTATGCTCTGTAGCCTGTCGGCTCAGCGGGGCGGGGGCTCGCCCTGGCCCGGTCGCGCCCGGGGATGGCGCTCTCGGTGGACAGGCCAGAGAAGCGCCGCGCGCAGGCTCGTGGGGAAGCAGAGCCAGCAGACGGCGCTCCTCGAGCAGGTCGTCGGCGAGGAGAACAGGAACGCCTCGCGGGAGGTCCACTTGGCGACTCTGCCGCACACGGACAAGGAAGGCCTCAAAGCGCCAGCGGCTTGCTCGCGGGAAGGGGTTCGCGACGCTTTCCTGGACTGCTGCGGCGCCCCGGGCGCCGACCCCGCGCGGCTCGCCGGCCACCGCGGGCAGGGGGCCGCGCCCGTCGGGGTCAAGAAGCTGGTGGCATTTACAGAATATTAAAGAATACCACGCACCAGTGGCAGGCGTCCGGCGGGCGCACTACCGCGCGGCCTTGTACCTGGGCGAAAAGAGCAACTTCCTGACCGTGAAGCGGGCCTTGCCCAACAGGTACCAACTCGCCCCGCACTGGCCCTGCAGCCACGACGGGCACTGGTCGGCCGTCGGGCACTGCGCGAACGCGACGCCCAAGAAGCCGCGGAGCGCCCTGGACGTTGACTACTTGGCTTGGCCCGCGGAGCACCCGCCGCTGACCGCGGCGAAGAGGGGGCCGACGACCGCCCGCTTTTCGGAGATGCGCAGGGCCGCGCGGGTGCAGGTCGAGAGCGAAAGGGAAGCCAGAGCCTCGCGTCGAAGAAGTGGACCTGCGGCGATAGCGGTCAGGTCTGGGACCCGGAATTCTCCGGACGACCCCCACGCAGTGCGCAAGTTGATGGCGGGCGCTAAGTCGTCCTGCTCGCACAAGGTGGTCGCCTGGATGTTCAAGAATGAGCACGTGCTGGAGAAGATAATCGACAAGGCCTGGGCGCGGGAGAACGTGGACAGCTTCCTCGAAGACGCGACGAAACCCGTCACGCAACAGTTCAAGGAGGCCCTGCGGACGCCGTGCGTTTGCGGCGGCCGCTGGTTGCACCGCGCCCGCGAGAGCCCGTCGATGAATCGCATCGGCGCCCCCGACCTGCGCAGCAGCATCTTGATGTCCCTGAAGCACGGTCGGTCCGAGGCAGCCCCGGTGGTCACCTTGGCTGGGCGTTTCGGCGGAGAGGGGAAGTCCCTTCTCTTCTCGGCAGTGCGGCCGCTGTTCGGCGGTGGGCACGCGCAGGAGAGGCCGGGCGGGGGGCAGTGTTGCCTCCGCGGCTTGGATAAGGCGAAGGCCGCGGTGCTGAACGAGTGGACGTTCATCGATGAGGACCTCCCTCTGTCCATCCAGCTCCTGTGGCTGGAGGGCAAGCCGGTTCCCATCGCTACGCTCCAGAACCAGCGCGTCGGGCACAAGGTGCACATGGGGTCCGCCCCAATTTTTGTCACCTGCCCCGAGGCGGCGCTGGCGGCCCTCTCGTCCGAGTCGTCGCAGCGCCCGCAGGGACAGGCCGGCATGCTGCTCCGGCGGCTGAAGCTGTACTTATTCAGTGTGCCGGTTTCGAAGCCGCCGGCCCCGAAGCTTGCGCCGTGCCCGCGCTGTTTCTCGTCCCTCGTCACAAGCGAGGCTCTTAAGTTCGAGCCCAAGTAAGCCTGCCGCGTGCGATTGGGGTCGCTGCGCGCAGACACCATCACCATCATCGCCATCATCACCGTCGCCGTTATCATCGTTGCCACACCTCGTTGCTCCATCGGGAACCCCACGGAAGGCCCCGATGGCTGAATCCGCATGCCGCGCCCCGACAATTTCGGCATACCCTTTCGGCGTTGCACGGACGGCACGGGCACGTCGTGCTTGTGGCTCGTCACGACTACGACCATCATCGTCGACGCTGCCAGTGCTGTCGCCTTTGGGTCCGTGCGTCAGCCCGCGTGGAGCCTGATTGGGGGTCGTTTTGGGGCCCCGTGGATATTCGTGAGGCCTCCCTGGAGGCCCTCTCGGGCGAGGTCTACGCGGGAGGCCCCCCGTTGCATTCCATTCGGCCCAATTCCTTCCCAATTCCTCCGCACCCCCCCTCACTCCTTCCCAGTCCTCGCCACTCACCTGCAGTCGTCCGCACCCCTCCGCACTCCGCTCAAAAATTCTGAAACTTCCCATTCCGCCACGCCCCTCCGCACTCTTCCCACAAATTCTGGAACCCTGCAACTCAGCCACACCCTCCCGCATTCCCCCCGAAACCTCGGCAACCGCCCCACTCCTCCCCACCCCTCTGCACTCCTCCCGAACCTTCCGCAACCGTCCATGTCCTCCACACCCCAACGCATTCTTCCCAGAACCTCCGCAATCCTGCCATTCTCTCCACCCCTCCGCACTCTTCCCGAACATCCGCAATTCTCCCAGTCCTCCACATCCCTCCGCATTCCTCCCGAAACCTCCGCAACCCTCCCATTCCCCCACATCCACTCGCACTCCTTCCGAAACCTCCGGAGCCGTTTCAATTCTCCCCGCCCCTACGCACTCCTCCCGAACATCCGCGACCCGTCCGATCCCTCCCCACCCTCCGCACTCCTCCCAAACCTTCCGCAACCGTCTCAGTCATCCACACCCCTCCGAACTCTTCCCGGAACCTCCGCAATCCTGCCATTTTCTCCACCCCTCCGCACTCTTCCCGAACATCCGCAACTCTCCCAGTCCTCCACATCCCTCCGCACTCCTTCCGAAACCTCCGCAACCCTCCCACTCTTCCACGCCATTCCGCACTCCTCCCGACACCTCGGCAACCTTTTTATCCTTCCACATCCCTCCACACTCCTCCCAAACATCCGCACCTCCCCCATTTTTCCAGACCCCTCCGCACTCCTCCCGAAACCTCCGCAGCCCTCCCATTCCTCCACATCCCTCCGCACTCCTCCCGAAACCTCCGGAGCCCTTCCATGTCTCCCCACTCCTCCGCACAACAAACCTTCTGCAACCGTCCCATTCCTCCCCACCCCTTCCGCACTCCTCCCGAAAGAGATTTCCTCCACCCTCCCATTCCTCCCCACCCATGCGCACTCCCCCCGAAACCTCCGCAACCCTCCTAGTCCTCCCCACGCCTCCGCACTCCTTCCAAACCTCCCTCATCCGTCCCATTTCTCCAGATCCCTCCGCACTCCTCCCAATTCTCTGGGATTCTCCCATTAATCCAGACCCCTCCGCACTCCTCCTGAAACGTGTCACCCCTTGCCCCAGCGTCTTACCCCCAGGAGCGGAACCTCCATCTTCCTCCTCTTTCTTCACCTCGTTCTCCTCCCCCTCCTCCCTCCTGTCCCTCATTCCTCCTTGAGGGTTGTGGATGATGATGCTGATGATGATGATGATGATGATGATGATGATGATGATGATGATGATGATGATGATGATGATGATGATGATGGTGGAGATGATCGTGATGGTGGAGATGATGCTGCCGATGAGGAAGATGATGATTGTGATGCTGACGTTTGTGGCATCTGTACGGGTTCCTCCTCTCCCTCCGCCCTACTTCCACCTGCAGAACAAGATGGGGGACCGTACATGGACATTATATTCCAACCTTGTGGCCCAAGATGCCCCCCAGATCCCCCGAAATCAATATTGATAGCGTGGCAACGGGGGGGGGCGTGAGTGGACAGAAATATTCGAACCCCAAAGCACCGACTTTACTGAGATCAACATTGATGTCGGGGGCGCGGGGGTGAATTAGAATCTCCCTCGAATGTGTAAGGGTTCGAATGTATGGTCCATCTACTTGACGACAACGAACACGAAACGAAAACGGAAAGCACCGTTTCGGTCAAGCCTCGGGAGAGGTCGCCGTCGAGATCGACGGGGAGGAGAGGCGGCGGCTCCGCGGCAGCGACAGCGAGGCGCCCCCGCCTGGGACGACGCCGACGAGCACGGACTCGTGCTATCCCAGCAACTGCTTCGGGGAGAGGGCGCTGATGTACGACGAGCCGCGCTCCGCCTCGGTCCGCGTGGTCAGCCAGCGGGTGCTCGTCTTCGTCATGTACCGGGACGCGTTCGCGGCAGTGCGGGACATGGCCACCCAGGGGGCAGCCACAGCTTGGAGCGCCCTGGTTTTCTGGCCAGCACTGGTTCCAGCCACGGCTGGGCGCGGCTCGAAAACCGGATGAGTTTCGACCCCGGCAGGGGTCCTGGGACCGATTTTGAGTCGGGCGGGTCACTCTTCAGGAGGAGAACGATTCAACAATGGTCCAGCAATAGTCCGGGGGCAATTTTTCGATTGTTGTTCGACTATTTTTGCTCATTCTTTGATTATTTGTTTCTCTCCAAATCCGCCTGTGGGAGGACATGCCCGCCCTAAGACTGACTTTGCGGGTGTGCTTTCGTGCCCCCCTCTTGGCCGGATCTATCGGGGCCCATCCAGCGCAGGCCCCAAGGTCGCTTCCAAGGCCCGTCCCGTGCAAGCCGGCCCCTGCCTTCAGCTCACCCCCCAGACCGCCCTCCAGACATACGCCTATGATGTTCCAACCTGCTTTAGCCTTGATCGCCAGAAAGAACCTCCAGCACCAAGAAAGTTCGAAATTGGCACTGTCTCTTTTTTGGGGTGCTCGAGGTTATTTCTGGGATGCGGTGCTGAAGTGCGATGGGGGCAACATAAGTCCCAGGACCGATTTTGAGCGGACGTGCGTTCGTGCCCCTCCAGGCATACGCCCACATGGGATCGTTTTCTGATTCGTTGTCTTGCCGATCGGCGCCGGCCCTCGCACCCCCCTCCCCCTCCCCCTCATGGAGTAGATCTTGGCTGTTTCTGGCGCCTGTTTCGAGCAGGTGCGGTCTCCCCCACAGGACGCATTGTTGCAAACAGTCGCAACAAGCAGCGGTCCAGATCCAGACCCCCCCCCCTCCCCCCCCCCTTCTCGGCCCAATGCCGAAACGCCGAATAAGAAAACGCTCACCATCTTGGGAGGAAGCGGGAGGGTCGTCACGTCAGGGGGTCATCACAGAAGGGTTGGCGTTCTGGTTCTGCCCGAGGTCATGGGCAGGAGGCGCACCGTCAATGGGAACACGGGCAGCGACTCGACCGTCGGGCTTTCCATGTCTGTGCACCGCCCCTGGACGTCCGAGAACGCGGTGCCGTACGACTTCTCCCAGTTGGAGACGTTAGGCGTGTTGGGCTGCGGGGCCTTCGGGAAGGCTCGGTAGCACAGAACGGCCGCTTCCCCACCCACGGGCGGGAACTCTAGCTCAGCGTGTCGCGCTGCCGCTCCTGGCCCACCACGCTTCGTGGCGCGAGACGCTAATCACTTCCTGGTCCATGGACCGCAGCGTCCCCAGCCTTTCGAATTGCGTGTCGCAAGGGCCGCCGCTGCGACACGCTAAGCAAAAAATCCCGACGGTACCCATGATGTGATCGTTTTTGTCATTCAATGTTCTGCCGCCATGGAATAGATCTTGGCTGTTTGGGGCATCTGTCTCACGCAGGTGCAGTCCCCCCCACAGGACGCACTATTGCAAACAGTCGCATTGAGCAGAGGTCCGGAGCCAGAACCCCTCCTCCCCCCACTCCCGCCCAATTTCGAAACGCCGAATCAGAAAACGTTCACGATCCCCTTGTAGCTACTCCCTGACACCATCTTCGCTCCTCTTCCTTCCCTTCCGCGCCGTCGTTGTTCCCGGGTAGGGGTTGGTGCATTTCGTGCTGCTCCGAAAAAAAGGTGACATTGGTCAGATGCGGGGTGACTGGCCAAAACTTGGCCCTCAAGGCAATATCCAAGGGATATCTCGTTCAAGAAGACAATCAGAAGAGTGTGATTCACGAGAAGAATATACTGCAGATGACGAGCAGCCCATTTCTTGTGCGGCTCGCCGCCACCTTCAATCGAGAGCAGCACGTGTATTTCTTGATGGAAGCCGCCCTGGGTGGGGAGTTGTACACGGTTTACGAGAACAGGGATCTCTGGGGATCACAACCACACGCGAGATTCTACATCGCGTGCGTGGTGCTGGCTTTCGAGCATCTGCACCAGCAACTCGTGGCGTATCGGGACTTGAAGCCAGAGAACGTGCTGCTGGACGCCAAAGGCTATTGTAAGGTGGCCGATTTCGGGCTCTCCAAGTTTACTGTGGGGCACACGTACACCATGTGCGGAACGCCCGATTATTTCGCACCTGAAATGGTATTAGGTGCCGGACACACGTTGGCTGTGGATTGGTGGTCGTTGGGCGTCTTGATTTACGAGTTGCTCATGGGACACACTCCGTTCTCTGCAGACGATCCAATGGTCATCCAGAACGCTTGCAGCGAGTCACCGCCGCCCCATGTGGAGGTACCTACGTGACCAACAAAGGATGGGGGACGACGCGGTCTAAAGTGGATACTTGGCTTCTGCAGTGCAGCTGCAACGGTTCGGAGGACCAAGATGGAAGAGGCAACTTGGTTGTTTCTCCTACTTGTGTAAACCAGTCTGGGCAATAGTGAAGGCAACATCGGGCCATCGGGGGCTACCTTGTAGCTCGTGAGGCTCGGCCGTCTGGAATCATCGGGGGCGTTCCGCAAAGGACCTCGCCTTCGAGGATCGATAGGGTTGTCATCCTGTCCTCGGCGGAAGGCGGCGGGAGGCCGTCAGGAGGCGGCGGACGTGAAACGGGGGCGGAGTTTGGCCGAAGCCAGTGGACTTGAGCGATGCGCCCCCAAACAGATGGCAGGAATTTTGATTCAAGGTTTCCAGAGTCGGCCATGTGTTGCCGATAGCGTCTCGGAAGGGATTGCGGAGCACCGTCAGGAGGCAAAGAAGCACCACAGACACATTTCATCGCCGACTCCCCGGACATGCATTGGAACATCTGGGAAGCGTGGGGGAAGACAAGTCGTCCAGAAGACGTGGGGGAAGCTGGGGAGAATCGTGGGATGTGCGTGTGTGCGCAGTTTTCTGTGCCTCCTCTCGGCCTCGCTCCGAGGCTCCCCCGCCTCCTCCCTCCTCCTCTCTGCCGAACTCAAGCTTCGCGCGGCCCGCTCAGCTTCGACAGGAGGAGGAGCGCGCTCGACCCGCGAAGCAAAAGTGTGTGCGGTTCTCTGTGCGTCCGTGGGCCCCCGCCTCCGGGAGAAGCCCCGCTGGGGCAGGCGCGGGGCCCCCCGCCGCCTCGTCGGGGCGGCCCCCGCGGGCCGCCGAACGCCCCCTCGGGGAGGCCGCCGTGTGGGGGGGGGGGGGGGCGGCCCGATCGGGGCTCCCGCGGCCGCCTCGGGGGCGCGCCGTGGAGGAGCCCGCCTCGAACGTATCCCTATCCCTAAGATTCCTCCTCCTCTTCCTCCTCCTCCTCCTCCTCCTCCTCCTCCTCCTCCTCCTCCTATCTCCCCCTCCTCCTCCTCCTTCTCCTCCTCCTCCCCCTCCTCCTCCTTGCCCCCTCTTTGCTCCTCCTCGTGCTCCTCCTCCTCCCCCTGCTCCTCCTCCTCCTCCTCGGAGACGCCAAAAGGCGATGACAATCTTAGGGATTCGCCCTCAAACCATAAGGGAATCCCTAGGATTGGCGTCGTGATGAGGAGGTGCCCGGCATAGGGATAGGGATCTGTTCCAGGCTGGTAAGTGGAGGAACCGCCAGGCCTCGGACAAAAAGACAGCGGACACGCACGTCACGTACATCCGTCCACGCCTCCCCCCTCCCTCGAGGGTGGGAAAAAACCACCCCGACCCCGACAGGTCACGTTTCCGGAGCGGCCCCGGGCGTCTGCGAAGCAGCCCTGCCCCGTTCGAGTCCTTCCGTGGGTGCGTTTACAGCACGGTGTCGCTTGTCGGGGCGTATAGGAAGAGGGTGGACTTTCTGCTCTCTACTACTCCCCCCCCCGTGTTTGTTCAAAGCTGGCGGTGGGTCTGCTGAGTGGCTGCACCTCGGCCGCAGCCCGCCCCCGCGCGTGCCCACTCTGAGGTTTGGGGGGAGGGGGGGGAGTGTCAAGCTGGGTGCGCTCGCGTCATACCTGACATCCTACCCCTCCCTCCCATCCCTTACCGTGGGCGCAGATCCCCTCCCTACTCGCACAGTCGGATGTTGAGGTTTGGGGGGAGGGGGAGTGTCCAGTGACTGTTCCCCGCTTCTGCCGCCTGGGGGGCGGTCTGCGGGGCGCTCCCGCGGCCGCTTAGGGGGGCGCATGGTAGAAAAACAGCCCGCCGGCGACGAGAGCCACGGAACAGTGGGAAGCCGACCCCGGCCCCCACGGCAATGGACTTTGGATGTCAGCGCTTTGCAATTCTGCTTCGGCACCGCCTGTTCCCGAGGCTTTGCCCCCTCCTGGCCTGGCCGTGAGGCCTCTCCTTCTGTCCCCCCTCTTTGTTAATTCAAGCTTCGCGCGGCCCGCTTGGCTTCGACCAGAAGAGGTGCGCTCTCGACCCGCGGATCAAAACAAGTTGTGCAATTCTGGCGAACGTGCGTAGGAGTAGGCGCCCTGTGAGCGAGGCCATTGCCAGCTGCCGCCAGGGGTGGGGGGGACCTGCGCGCGCGGTCTAGTGGTTCTAAAGTTCCTTATGCGGGAGGGGCGGGGGGCGGTGTTCATGCGTTCAGCCACAGCTCGTCGAGGCTACATTGGGCTGACTTTGCCTTTTTCTACAGATTGTGGAGGTCATTTTGGGGGCAGCCCTGGATGCCTCAGGGGCCGTTTTGGGGGCGCACTGGAGGAACACCTCGCCGTCGAAGAGAGCGATACATCACCAAGGATAACAAAAACCCTGACCTGAATAACATTGTGAAGACGTGGCCTCAATGAGTTCCCTGTCTTCGCAGCAGGGATGGTAAGTATCGGCGGTTTGGTTCGATACACCTGCAGAACAGGCCCCCCTATCCCTAATGCTTCTGGCCCTCCTAGCTTAGGTCCCCTCCCAAAGAGTTAGGGGTCCTGTTTTGGTTACTCGATACAGGCCTCGCGAAAAAAAATAGCGAACACGCATGCCACAGTCATCGGTCAGCGCCTCCCCATCCCACCAATGTTTGAGAAGTTGGCGGTGGGTCGGATGAGTTGCACTTCGACCGCAGTCTCCCGCACGCGTGTCCACGAATTGTTTCTCCCTACCGTAGCTTGTCTAGGCTATATTGGGCTGACGTTGGCTACTTCTACATCTCGGAGGCCAAATCTGGGGCAGTCTTGGGTGCTTCAGGGGCCATCTTGGGCCACACGGGAGAGGATCTCACGGGCCTCTCTTGAGATCGCTCTTGGTTGTTTGGGCCAGGATCAATATTGCATCAATGATGGAGCACTCTTGACGGCATCGCGTCCCGCCCTGAGCAAACCAGGGCACGTCGACCGACCGTAGGCTCTAGTCTTTGCAGCGCTTGGGGGCCCGTATTGGTCGATTTGGGGATCCGTCGTGGGCCTCTCGGCGTCTATGCCGAGACCATGGTGGGCTGTCGTTGGGTTTCCTGAAGCCGTCGGACGATGCGACGCGGAAATTGATGGAAGAGGATCGGCGGCGAGCGAGGGGGGGGGCATGAGGAGGAGAAGGCCTTCTCAGAAGGCGGCGGGACTATTCAGAAGCCTTCGCGCCTTCTGAGACGTTGTTGTTCCGTCCCTGGGGAGGGCTCATAACACTTTTCAGGAAGCGCGGGGGACCTCCGAGCCTTCTGGGAAGGCCGTCTCCGTCTCGCTTCCCCCCCTCATTCGCCGCCGAGAGGAAGAGGAGGAGGAGGAGGAGGAGCAGGAGGAGGAGGGAGGAGGTGGTGGAGGAGGAGGAGGAGGGGGAGAAGAAGGAGCAGGATGAGGAGGAGGGAGGAGGTGGTGGAGAAGGAGGAGCAGGAGGAGGAGGAGGAGGACGAGGAGGAGGAGGAGGGGGGGGGGAATGGACGGAGGCTGGGGCGCTAGGCGAACAACGCGTTGTTGCCCCAGAGGGGGAGGCGAATCTTCGCGAGGGTGCAGCGCGGCATCGGGAGCGCCGAGGCCCCAGCAGGCAACCCCGCGTGGTATCCCCATTCGCGCCTGCCCGCTCGAGCCTCGCGCCTCCTCGTGCTCCCAAGTCGGGCGCGCCCCTCTGCACGAGGAGTGCGCGGACATCAAGAGCAGTGGCGACGCGTCCTGGCTCGCCGATAGCCCTACCAAAGAAGGTTCGAACAACCGGTTGCGGTTCCCACGAGACGTTGTTGGAACCTTTTTCTGGTTGGGGCTGTCGCTTTTTTAAGCACATCAGGTCTACGTTCTGAGAACAGGGTTTGGGTTCTTAGAACATTGTTGGGCACTAAGATTCCGTGGTCGGCCTACAGGAATGCCAGTACGGTCGGCCCTTGCTCAAAGAAATGCTTTAACAGCTACTCTGGGGACGACTTTCGATTAGTGCTGCCAGGTATTGCGCACTTGTTGGCTGTGTTCCCTTTGTCGTCCAACAAATTCCGCCCGTAAGGGGGCACGCCCGACCTAATTATTGTGCCTTTCTCGTCATGGTCATCGTCAGCATCACCCTCGTCATCCTGCTTGTCGCCCTCCCCATCCAGCTCAGGACCCTCCTCGCTCTCCTTCATAGTAGGCACAGCGAGCAAGAAACCGACCTGCCGGCAGGCGCCCCAAGGGCATGCATTGCCCCTCTGGCCTTGGGAATCCGCAGAAGACCACTGGCACCTCCAGAAGTCGAAAGATCGACGCCCAGTAATAATCATCATCATCATCATCATCATCATCATCATCATCATCATCATCATCATCATCATCATCATCATCGTCATCGTAATCAGCATCATCACCATCAGCAGCATCATCATCAGCATCATCATCATCAGCATCATCATCAGCATCATCATCCGTAGTAACTGTTTGGCGCAAGGCACGTCGCGTGTTGTTCGAACACATTTCTATAGGTTTTGCATCCGCTCGGAACTGCGCGATGGCGGCCCTCGTCTTCGAGCTACATGGCTCTGCTCTCCGTGCACTCTCTGACGCCCTTGGACATCATTGCCAGGGTCTCCAGCCGGCCGCCCGTGGCTCAGCACGGGGCATCATCCTTGGGACCGTTGCTAAAAAGCTCACCAACCTTGACATTGCCGACAACGTGGTCCGCCACATCGCGGCCCCTGGCATCCAGAAGATCGAGTACGAGCCCGACAACCTGATCAAGCTTCACGGACCGGTCGGAGGGCCTCATGATGCTCAGCCGACTTGTTGACGCTCGCATCGACAAGAACAGTCTCGAGAGTTACAATGTCACCATGCGCAGCACTGCGCAGGAGGACAAGCTCAAGGCCAACTTCGAGGATACCTGTGCCGTCGTCTCTGCCAATTCCGTCGCTCTCCAGACCCAGGTGGACTCGACTTTCACAGCGGTCAAGACGCAGATGACCGAGATAGCTGCTGCCATCAATGTCCTGAAGAAGTGCGTAGAGCAGCGGCCGACGGATAACCAAGCTGATCGCGAGGTCATCGACGAGGTAGTGGAGCCCTCGGCCGTGCGGCTTGAGGTGCCCTCATCTCGTGGCGCCCCCGTGAGTAGATGGAAGATTGCACCCATAAGCGCCCGCTGCATGGCTAGCTCTTCGTCCAAACCGCCGCGCCCTCACTCACGCAAACATGGTGCCCTAGGTGTGGTTTTTTCGCATTCAATGAATGTGTCGCTTCCCAGACATTAGAATGCCAAACGCCGTTCTACGTAGTACCAGTTGCGATTCGATGCTCGCGCGCCTGCCTGCTCCCTTCTCACCGCTCACTGGAATCCTGATTAGCATTATCATCACCATCGTCCTCATCTCCACCAGCATCGCCATCAGCACCATCGTCATCTTCCACATCATCGTCATAAGCAACATGAAGTTCAGTAGCATACTGCATCATCATTGCCGCTGGCTTCATCATTGTTATTATCATCGTCGTCGTCATTACCCTCGCCATCTCCATCGCCTTCATCACCACAATCGCCCCCCATCACCACCATTACAATCATAAGCACCATCATCATCAGCAGCATCATCGGATTGCTCGCCATCATCGTCACCACGCCAGCGTTTGCCCAAGCGTCTCAGCCCCATTGCAGCTTGGATTGTGTTGGTGCTGACATGCGAAGTGCAAACCTGGACGGGCATCATCGTCGTGCCCATGATTCCCAACGCGCTCCTCATCCGCATCCCCTCGCCCGATTGAGGGTTGCGCGGTTTACCTGTTCCGAAACCCCGTTTCCGCCTTCGACCCTAGCTCGCGCGCCTCTGCGATTTCGGTCATTCGTCTTCCTCCTCAGCATCCTCTTCTTCCTCCTCCTTTTCCTCATCTTCCTCCTCCTCCTCCTCCTCCTCCTCCTCCCCCTCCTCCCCAGGTACCAGCTGGTGAAGAGCCTGTGCCAGCAGAAGCCAGAGTCCCGTCTGCCTACGCAAAGCGGGGGCATCAAGAACATCCAGGACCTACTTTGGCAAGCCTCCCCGCTCCACGTCCTCCCGCCGCATCCAAACCCCCCTCCGTATACCTGGTTTGGCGGCGCGCGTAAGACGGTGGCGCGAGGGGGGGCGGCTGCGTAAGAATGCAAGGGGGCGTCTTCGGATGCAGGAGCCTTCCGAGAGGGGCCTAGAGCTCTTAACGAAGCTCTTCAGAGGCCACGAGGGCTCGTAAGAAACCCCCCCATACCACTTAAGAAACATTTTTTTCGTCGAAACACTCAGACCTTTTTTTGTAAGAAGGGCCCTGCTTTTTAAGGGGCTCCCTGTCGTCCCAGAAGCCCCCCCCCCTGTCGCGCAACCTCACGGTGCCATTTGTTTGTTCCACCCTCTCTCCCCTCTCCCAGCATACCCCTCCCCTGAGGGGGGAGGGGGGACTAGCTGAATGGGTGAGGGGGGCCCTCCCTCCGTGCTCCAATAACCCCCCCCCCCGCCGACCCATTACTTGCCCCCCCTTCCCCCCACGCGTCTTTCTTTCTGGAGCGGTTCTGTGTGTACTGCGTTATGTGCTGTGTGCTGTGATTGTGTCGTTTGTGTTGTCTGTGCTGCGGAATTGTGTTGGGTTGTGGTGGGATGGGGCGGTGTGTGGTATGGCGTGGGTTGACGTGCTGTGGTGCGGTGTGTTGTGATGTGCCGTGATGTGTTGTGTGGTGTGGTGTGGTGTTGTGGTGTGGTGTGGGTGGGTGGTGTGGCCGTTGCGTGTAAGCGTGAGTGCGCGTGAGTGAGTGTGTGGGGGTGCGTGTGTGTCGGTGTTCGTGTGCGTGGAAGTGCAAGGAGGGTAGGAAGAAGGAGGATTTGAACATCCACGAGACAGCTGTCTGTCAACATTGCCGAGACAGACAGCCCATGCGTGGGAAGTGTTGCCTAACGCCGCAGGGTTGATGTTAAACAGGTGTGCAGACAGGCATGCATGTGTTGCGCGTTAGGTAGCCGCCAAGGCTCGGATCTAGAAGTATGCCAAGAGATTCTAGCCAGACAGGGTTAACCAACTGTGCAATCACAGCTTCGGAGCTCGTTAGCTTCATCATGCTTAGCCCACGCTGCTCGGGTGAAGCCAACACTTGGCCATCCCGCAGGGAGCAGTTACTCGCCTGCTGAACCTCCTGCCTTGGTGCCGCTGCTGCTGCTGCTGGTCCTTGCCCTCCCTCAGCGTTCTGATCGTGCGGCATCCGTGCCTCCCACCTCCTACGTGTGGCATACTTGGCGACGCGTCGTGGCTTGGGCCGCTTCGCCTGGGCACCTGGCCTGTCGCATAGGCGATACGATGGGGCGTAATCCGTATCTTGCCCATGTGGGCTTGCTTCCTCCGCCCCCATCTGCTTCCTGCGTGCCCCACCGGTCCCCTTCTCCTCCGCGCCAGGGTTTTCGTTTGACTTGGGAGGAAAGGGTGACGGTCCTGCGTCAGGGCAATTTGCCGATTCCCCATTTTGCTTTCATAGATCTAGTTTGGGTTGTTTTTGCGGTTATCGCTGCTGTGTAAAAAACGGTTGACGCCTAACGTATCCCCAACCAGCCCATCCAAGACCGATGTCCAGGCAAGTTGCCTTGATCAGGGAAGTGGGGGAGCATGCCGTGAAGCAAAAAGTTGAGGGCGTCGTCGCATCGAAATGTTTGAAGGATTCGGGCCTCTCGGGGGCGAACTTAGGCGACCCAGAAGCCACTTGGGGCCGCCTTGGCGCAATCTCGGGGCTTCGTGGAGGCAAGGTTGGGGGCCATCTTCAGCCAACCTGGACCGTGTGGGGGCCATTTTGGAGGAGATCGATCCAAGAAGAGGGGGTACTCAATGAGCTCCGCCCCTCTAGAGCCCCTGATAATGACTCTTGGACCCCTCTTGGAGCGTTCTTGGAGCGCTTTTTGGGCCCGCTTGGGGCAGTTTTGCAGCCCTCGTGAGCCCCTCTTGGAGCTCTCTTGAGCCCTTTTTGGGCCATGCTGGTGGCATTACCCGAGAGTCTCGGGTAATCCCACCAGCCTTTTCAGCGGCCGTGGAGAGGGCGACGCGCGTGCGATCCGCCCCGTGGGTGTCCGCCGCGCTGGCGACGCACTCACCAAATTGCCCCCTTGCGAGGGCCACGTGCACGTTCGAGAGGACGGCTGGCCTTTTCGGCGACCGACGCACGGGAGGCGCACGGGCGACGAATGCGCGACGCACCTCCTGTCGCGAAGGGGGGGGGGGTCAGCACGCGGGTCGCTTTACTGGGCCTTAACACCCGAGACTTACTTAATTTTTTCTCCACGCGAGGCGAGTAGTTGTAGGAACGCTACATGCTAGAGAGCATGTTGCACGATATGCAGTATTCTGACATTCTTCGCCAGGCAATGTCGGGCCACGTGCGTCGCACACCTGCGCAACTCAGATCGCAAAAGGGACGCCGACGACGAGCACCACGGTGAACATAGGACGGGTGGCGGAAGTGGAGGGAGGAGGACGAGGGGGGAGAATTCAAAGAGGATTGAGAACGAAGGGGAATAACGAATACTGGTGAGAGTAATAACGCCGTGCGCCACATCTGCTCGTGGCGTGGTCCGCCCCTGCTGTTGCTACGGGCGACAGGCGCCTGAGAAGGGGGTGTAGTGGGCCACTGAGAACAGCGCCATGCGCCACGTGACGCTCCAGGGAGCCCACGAAAGTGGCGACAGTTGCGCAGGTGGCCGCGAGGTCTCGCCTAGACCTGCGTGATAATCTATTCCGCTGGACCTCCCAGGAGCCCATGCAAGCGGCGACCGCTGCGCAGCTGGCAGCCACCCAGGGAGCCGCGAGGTCTTGCCTGACTGCCGTCCCCGCTGGACCTCCCCGGAGCCCACGAGAGTGGCAGCAGTTGCGCGGATGGCAGCATCGCCTGACCACCGCCCCCGCTGGACCTCTCGGGAGCCCACGGAAGTGGCGGCAACTGCGCAGCTGCCAGCATCGCAGGGGGCCGCGGGGCGTCGCCGGACTGCCGCCCCCGCTGGACCTCCCGGGGGCCCACGAGGAGTGGCGACAGCTGCGCGGCTGACGTGCTCCCAGCAGGAAGGGCAGGAGGAAGGTTGGCGAGGAGCCAGGGGGCAGGAGGAGGAGGAGGAGGAGGAGGAGGGCGAGGAGGAGGGCGAGGAGGAGGAGGAGGAGGGCGAGGAGGAGGAGGAGATGGAGGAGGAGGAGCGGGAGGAGGAGGGGATGAGGCGAAGGAGAGGAGAGGACGTAGACCACAGTGCCCTGCCCAAAACGAGTACCCTACCAGAGGCAAGGTTGGGAAGCAGCTTTTCACCTGCCGACAAAAGGCGGCTCCTGCACGGCTGGCTCTGAAGCACGTCCGCGAGGCGGGGCAGGAGTTCTGGGAGGGAACTGCGTCCCGAGGCGAGGCGGGAGGAGGAAGGGGCAGGAAGGGGGAGGAGCGCACAGGATCACCCGTGGTACACCGAGGAAGCCTTCGACTGGCGCGCCCTCGCGAGCCGCACTGCGCAGGCGCCCTACGTGCCGCCGGCGGTCAGTCAGGGGGACCTCTTCCAGGAGGAGGCGGAGGAGCCAGATTTCGTCCACTACGTCGACGATGGGAGCGGCTGGGATGCGGACTTCGAGGACGTCGTCGGGCCCAAGTTCGATCTTTGAAGAGTAGTTGGAAGGTCGCGCTCCTTGCATCAGGCCGTAGGCGGGCGGCTCATGGCCGAACGCAGGCGCATTGCTGTCCGACCAGTGCTCGGGAGTCATGCGTATTTTTCCGCAGCGGCCAGAAGCAGCTCGCACGTCTTGGCGTAGAGAGTTCAAAGTTTGGATTGGACAGCCAGCGATCTGAGATGTCTTCGTCGCGCTGCATTGCTTTGGTGTCTTGGGCCTGAAAAATTGTCTTGTATGGTTGTTGCCAGTCTGCCAAGGGAGCGCGGAGGTATTGACACTGCTGCTTGTTCAAAAAACGCGTCTGGGCCCGAGAAACCAGTACAATCAGCTGTCATCAGGCCTTCGACCCCTAGAGCCCAAGGCCCCAGATCATCCTGCTGTCCTCCCACTCCCCCTCCACGTCCACTTGTTTGTGTTGCGACGTGATGCCCCTCAGAAGAGCCTTGTGTCTTTTCGGATGTCCTCTCTCGCACGGGATCCGACTGCACAGTCGGGATGTCGAAACAAGAAGCATGCTTACTTATGGAAAAGGCTTGGACAAGGGGACCCGTGCCACCGCCGCACGCCACCGTTTCCGCGGCTCCCCCGTCCAGGCGTCCATTGCTTGGTATTTCGCCTGAGTGCTGTGTTTACTGCTCCTCTCATCCTTCTGCCCCCCTCCTCCTCTGGACTCGGCCTGACGACTCACTCGTTCTGCACAGCTGCGCACCTTGTACAGCGGGCCACGGTAGCGATCATCTTTCTTGCTCTATTCCTCTTCCCAGCTCTCCCATTTCTCTGCTTCCAGTCATCCCTTACCTCAGGACTTCATCCACCTCTCATCCCTAACTCCTCACCCCCTTCCCCTCCTCCCCTCCTACTCCCTCCCACGATTGTTCGAGGCTTTTGCGTCGCGATCTTCTGACCAGGGCAATGTTTCGGGCGGCACCTGCAAGAAGATCGAGCACGATGAAGAGATATGAAGAGAATGCGAATCTGGACCGTCGAAACCTGGAAACCTGAGATTGGGATACTATTGACGTGTACGTTGTTGTGTTTTCGTATGCTCGTTTCTGTTTGATGCCATCCTTCTTTCCCGTCATTCTCCTCCCTCCTCCTCCCGCTGCTCCTCCCCCTCATCCTCCCACTCCTCAGCCTTCTCCCCCCCTTCAGTCGGATGCTTGTATTTGCTGGTGCTCTCCCCCACCCTTCGCCTCACTCCCCTCCAGTTGCTCTTCCCCCACATTGTGTCCCTCCGCCTTATCAGCCTCCTCGCCCTCCTCCACCCCACCAGCAACCGTGGGGCAGCTACTTGTGCTGGAACCCGCTTTTGCTTTGGACTTGCGCCCTGCGTGAGACAAGGCAGGGCAGCGTGGGAAAGCGTGTGGACTCTGCCCCTCCCTGTCTCGGAGTTCGGGCCCCATCCCGCTGCTCTTCCATGCCGGCTTGTGCTGCCCCTGTTTAGGGGAACGAAAAAATACCTAAACATGAAAATTCAGAGGTCCGCGCGGATTTCTCGGATCGGCGTTGGACCCCCCTCCCAGGCGCGCGGAGCGCGCCAGGGGCAGCGCCGGAGGCGCCGCCAGGGGGCCCCGGCGCCGATCCGAGAAATCCGCGCGGACCTCCCAGTTTTATGTTTATGTCATGGTTCGTTTCCCTACTGTTGCCTGAGATGGACATTCCCATTCGGAGGTTGATAGACCTCCTACACTGACGCGTCGATCAGCGAATTGGCCGTTGTCGGTTCGCGAGAGGGCGTCGCGGTCGTCATTCTTGCGGGCCCAGGTCCGTCGGTTTTGGTCTTGGGCCGCTTTCACCAAAGGGAGGTTTACTACAGGGAGGTTTGTCCACCGCCGACCCGTTCCTACCCTGCCCTCTCCCTGGCGCGCGGAGCGCGCCAGGTGTTCATGTCATTGTTCGTTCCCCTACTGTTGCCATGTCGGTGTTTATGCTTATGTCATTGTTCGTTTCCCTACTGTTGCCTGAGGTGGCCATTCCCATTCCTACCCTGCCATCTCCTCGAGAGCCGCTCTGAGCCAAGTCGCGGCACGTGCTCCGAAGGCTCGCGGGCCGCACCTCTCGCTCCGCGGGCGCGCGGCCGCAGTGGCGCCAGCAAGGAGGGGGCGCAGCCCCCTCCACGCGCCGGCGACGGGGGTGAGAACGGGACGGGGGGGGGGGGAGGGACTTCTGTTTCCACGTCCCCACTCCTCCATCCTCCTCCTCCTCCTCCTCCTCCTCCTCCTCCTCCTCCTCCTCCTCCTCCTCCTCCGCCTCCTCCTCCGCCTCCGCCTCCGCCTCCGCCTCCTCCTCCTCCTCCTGCCTCCGCCTCCGCCTCCTCCTCCTCCGCCTCTGCCACCTCCTCCTCGTCCTCCGCCTCCGCCTCCTCCTCCTCCACCACGCCGCTCGAAGCGCAAGCGCTTCGCCGTCAGCGCAGACGCGCAGCAGCAGCAGCAGCAGCAGCAGCAGCAGCAGCAGCAGCAGCAGCAGCAGCAGCTGTTGGCGCCCTCCGCGAGGCAGACGTTTCCCGGGGCTCTGGGTCGAGGGCCTGGCTATAATTAAGCCGGGCATGTCCCTCTACAGAGGAATGTTCAAACATAATTTATAAAACGAACTAGTATAGGGGACGATGCATCTTGCATTCTTTGACTATTTGGGAGTATGTTTGGAGTATTTTTATGTTTCGTCCAAACCCCCCTACAGCGGGACATGCCCGACCTAAGCCTGGCTAGAGCTGGCGGCGGCAGTGCGCCATCGCAGCGTGACGGATTCGAGTCCCCACGGACGCCAGAGGAGGCCGAGGAGCGCCCTGCGCTGGCACGCTCTCGCACGTACTCGTAAGTCGGGCCTGTCCCTCTACAGGTGGAGTAGTCAAAAATTGTCCAAAAATAGTCAGGGGACGATGTTTTGAGCATTGTTGAGTTTTCGTGGTTTTTTATTGTGAAGGCCTTACGGCCGGTGCCGCCGACCCTGAAGGTTTTGGCCGTCGATGGCGACGGGATGTGTGATCACAGGAAGGAGCTAAAGGACAACGTGACAGGGTAGGCGGGAGGAGGAGGAGGAGGAGGAGGAGGAGAGGAGGAGAGGAGGAGGAGGAGGAGGAGGAGGAGGAGGAGGAGGAGGAGAGGAGGAGGAGAAGGTGGCGAGGAGAGAGGAGGAGGAGGAGGAGGAGAGGAGGAGGAGGGAGGAGGGAGGTGGTATTCTGACCCGGAACCCCCCAGGATCCCCCCCCCTGGACCCTCCCAGGACCCCCCCCCCAGGGACCCCCTCCAGGACCCCCCCCGGGCTTTCCCCAGGACCCCCCCCCCCCCGGTCGGGGAAGGGAACAAAGGGAAGGGGAAACCCTTCGAGTCAGTTTATTTTACGCAGGAGGAAGAGATGAAAGAGGAGGAGGAGGAGGAGGAGGAGGAGGAGGAGGAGGGGGAGACGAACGAGAAGGAGACGGAGAAGGTGGGAAAGGGAAGGAGGCACGGACGAGAATAACAACCTATTCCACGCGCCGAAAGGGTTGGATTTTTCATCCCAAAGCCTCCTGTAGGGGGACACGCCTGACCTAAAGGTATTCTCGTGGAAGACACTGGAACACGATCACTGGAGGGGAGGCGTGTTGCCAAATAATTTCCAGGTGTCTAAAACATGCTCCAACTACGTTTCCAAAGTGCAGAAGAAAACATGTTTTGAATATGCTTCGGACAGGGTTAAAACATGTAGACAGCATGTACGAGGCATTGTTAATTAAATGCTAGAACGATTAGAGTGTCCACTGTCATGACATCCACAGTCGTGCTCCCAGATCGCGCAGATGGAGCGGATAAGCGCTGCAAAGGGCGATCGTCCTGTCGTTCACGAGGTAGGCCGGCGCTGGAAAGGCATCTGGGGGAGCTGTAAGAGACGGGGGTCCATGCAAAGAGCGGTCCGCCGAAACAGCGGATCTTGCAGAATCATGCAGAGCCAGGAGTGCACTGAGCCAGGTTTACGCGCGGGGGCCTGCAAGATCCTGCGGGGTCTTGCGGGATCCTTCAACACCTGACTGACCCCCGGGCTTGCACTGACCCGAACAGCGCGCCCCGGCATCCCGCCATCGAGCTCTGCGGTCTAGAAACGCAGTCGCTGCCGGCGGAAACAATTCAGGAGGAAAAGAAACACACAGACACAATTAATCCTCGATTCCCCAGAAAATATTGGAAAATATGGGAAGTGGGGGGGAAGACAGAAACCCAGAAAATATGGGGGATTATTTTATTTGCGTGTATTTGTTTGTGTGTCCCAGTTCCCCTTCAACAATGCGCGGTGGCATCCAGGAGAAGAGGCACGTGTCTTCGGTTACCCGGAGGAGGTCGGCACGAGCGGAGAGCGCCGACAAAAGAGGAGGAGACATACAGAGACACGCGGCTGCGCCGCGGAGGCGGCAGCACGGAAAAGGAATGGCAACAGGTGTAATTTGTCGAGGAGGGGGTCGGCAAGAGGAGCGAGGCGGATCTGCAGTGCTGTCAAGCGCCACATGGGACGATTCTTAGCAAGGAAGAAAAAGCGCCATAAACATAAACTTTTGGCGCTCCGCGTGGGTTTCTTGGATCCGCGTTGGGGCCCCCCTGGCGGCACCACCGGTGCCTCCCCTGGCGCGCTCCGCGCGCCGGGGAGGGGGGTCCTGCGCGAATCCAGAAATCCGCGCGGAGCGCCCACATTTTATGTTTATGTCGTTTTGGTTTTCCACTTCTTGACGCCATTGGGGACAGCCAGCTGGCTGCCCGGTGATTGAGAGGACCTTACCGTTGCAACAACCCGACGCTCAGCGCCCGAGTGCGCTCCAGCCAGCGCGCCCTGTCCTATGTGCTGGCGGACAGGATGGGTGCAGCCGGGGCTGGTGCCGCTTGGCGCCGCGAGAGCTCAACAAGACAGCGGGCGCCATGGCCAACCACACCGTGAACATTCGGTAGCAAATCACGGGAGCCTTGTGTGCCTTCGCAATTCTATCTTTAGCGTCGATTAGCGTCGATTGCAGTCTGGGAGTCGATGAGATCGCGCCGATTTAGCATCGGCTAGCGTCGATTAGTGTCGATTCAGCGTCGATCAGCGTCGATTCAGCGCGACTAGCGTCGGTTCGCAAGAGCCGACACGATGGTATGGGAGGCTCCCATGAGTTACCACCGAACCGTGAACACGAAGGCGAACCACACCACGGCGAGCTTCACCACCCAGCACGCCCTGGGGCGAGCTCTTCTCCACGCCGCCCTGGACCTCAAGATGCGAGCGTGCTTTGGCGGAGGCCGGAGAGACGCTCCTACGCCGGGCACTGGGTGCTACATTGAAGCGTTAGTGGAGGAGGAGGTGGCGGTTTGGGCCACGGTAGCAGCAGGAGGGACATGGCTTCCAGGAACGACGGCGGTGAGGACGAACGTAAAAGCCATGAATAAGGGCGTGGCGAGCGTGTGTACAAAGCAGATCGCACTGCTGACTTGTCGCGGCAGTCTTGAAATCTGGAGTTGTTGCGCTCCAGAGCATGAGGTATCAAGTATCACGTATCCTCCTCCTTCTCCCTCCCCTGCTCCAATCCACTCTCCGTGTTTCGCTCTTTGTTGTCTCCGCATCTGCTCGGACCTGAAGCTCCCCGCTCCCCCCCCCCCCCTCCCCCGGTGGGCGCCTTACGCAGGCGTTAGCCTTAAGTCGGGCTTGTCCCTCTACAGGGGGAATATTCAAAAATAGTCCATTAATAATATGCGGGCGATGTTTGAACATTTGTTGGCCATTTTGGGGCATTTTGTCGCGTATTTTTTTGTTTCGCACAAGCTCCCCCTGTAGGAGGACAGGCCCGAACAAAAGGTAGCCATCGATGGAGCGGGTGAAGTCACCTTCCCGGACTTGCGAGCTGCGCTCTCTACGAGCGGCTCGGGGCACATCCCTCTCTTGCATTTGCGTTCGGATGCAACTCCTGGGAGGTCAAATTCTGATTTTGCCCTGGTCCGAAATCCAGCTTAATCCCGCTTAATCCCGTTGACTCACGCTGAATCCTGCTTAATCCGGCTTAATCCTAGGCCCACTCCGGCGTAGCAGCCCCCCAATGGGGCTTCATCCTCTTCAATCCTTCCGACGAAAACCTCCCCGAGGCCCATTCCAGCGTAACAGCCCCCCAATGGGGCTTAATCCTCGTCAATCTTTCCGACGAAAACCTTCCAGCAGTTGCCTCCTAACTTGCGGACGGGGAGGGAATCGGCCCCCTCGGGAACCCTTTGCTGCACCGCGCAGGCAGACCCGCTCCGGGGGGGAGGGGGGGCGGGCGCCCACGGACCCCCCCTTGGAGTCGGCTCTTGTGCCTGCTGGGGGCGCTGGGGGTGGACGCGAGCAGCGCGGCTGCTCGTGAGTCGGGCCTGTCCCTCGACAGGAGGGATCTTCAAAAATAGTCAAAGAGTAGTCTGGGGACGAGTTTTTGGTTGTTTTTTTCCCATTTGGGCGCGTGTTTTGATTATTTCTGATTTTTCATACAAAATTACCCCGTAGGGGGACATGCCCGACCTAAGGCTACTCCTTCGCTGCTCCCGGCAATTTTGGCGTCCGTGGGCGCCGCGGTCCTGGATCCCCGACGTCGTGATGTTTGTCGCGACGTCGACCCCCACAGCTCCAGACCCCTTCCCGGGGACTGGCTTTTCATCCTGCGTCGTCTTTTGGCGGTCCCCACAGTTGCCATCTCAACAGGCGCGGTTGCTTGCCGAATACGTCGACGACCACACGCTGGTGGCAAGAAAACGCGCTGCTGTTTTGGCTTGATAATTCAACGGCCAACTGGCTTGACAATTCAGCGGTCAATTCAACGTGTCTCTCCGGCGGCCTCTGGGAAGCCACCCGGGTTCGCGGTGTACCCGCACGAGAAGGGCCGCCCCGTCGGTCGTTGCGGACTTCCCGAGGTGCGTAACCCTTATTCTCATACCGTAGCCTCGACTGCAGTGGCCAGGTTGAGGAGGAGGAGAAGGAGGAGGAGGTGATTGGAGAGGATGAGGAGGAGGAGGAGGAGGGGGAGGGGGAGGAGGAGATGACCGGAGAGAATGAGGACGAGGAGGAGGAGGAGGAGGAGGACTTCGGAATAGGCTCGCAAGCTTGAGACGTCCGGCAAGGCAGGTACACGATGTCTCGTGCAAAGGCACTAATGCCTTGGTGGACACAAACACGTGCGGCTTCCAACCTCCCCCTCATCCTCCTCCTCCTGGCTGCGCTCTCTCCGCCGTCTTCGGCTGGCAGTGCACGGTTGATCGACAACGATCGCCTCAGTGCGCTGGCTGAGAGGATTCGGACGAAGGAGGCAGCGCACGGCACAGCCTAGTCGTGGATAATCCGAGGCGGGAATTCATACATGACCACCGCCTGGAGGGTCAGTTTTCGGAGCATCGGCAGGCGGTGGATGTGGACATAGTTGGGCCCCCCGGGGCCGAAATACATCCATATCCACCGCCCTCTGGGGCACCAGGACGTCGGCTCCCCGGCGGTGGATATGAATAAGTTTCCACCTCGCAGAGAAAGCGGAACGTCCTGCCCGCCGGGTCGTCGCGTCGTCCCTCTCGGGGCGAGCCCCCTCGAGAGAGAGACGTCGAGGAGGGGCCCGACGAGCCCCGAGAGGCGATTTTTCGGGGAGGCCTCCGCCCGAGGCCTCCGGCGGCGGCCAAGGCGCTCAGCCCGACCGAACTCGGCTTCGGGCCGCTCGCTCATCTCAGCTCTCCATCCCCCCTCCATCCCCCCTCATCTAAGCTCTCTCTCTCTCTCTCTCCCCCTCCATCCCCCCCTCTCTCTCTCTCTCTCTCCCTCTCCCTCTCTCTCTCTCTCTCTTTCTCTCTCTCCCTCTCCCTCTCCATCTCTCTTTCTCTCTCTCTCTCTCTATCTCTCCCTCTCCCTCTCCCTCTCCCTCTCTCTCTTTCTTTCTCTCCCCCTCCCCCCCTCTCCCTCTCCCTCTCTCTCTCCCTCTCTCCCTCCCTCCGTCCCCAGGCACTGGCCGCTCCATGGCAGCCTTCGCCGCCGTCGCGTCCGACTGCGACTCCGACCCGAGCCGCCGGCCGCCCAAGGCGGCCGCCGCGGGGGAGTGGCAGCGCACCGCGGCGGCTCTCGGGGCGCTCTGCGCGGTGGGCTGCGTCGCCGCGGTCATCCTCCCTCCCTCCCTCCTCCTCCTCCTCTTCCTCCCTCCTCCCTCCTCCCTCCCTCCCCCTCCTCCTCCTCCTCCTCCTGCTCTCTCCCCTCCTCCTCCTCCTCCTCCCTCCTCCTCCTCCTCCCCCTCCTCCTCCTCCCTCCTCCTCCCCCTCCTCCTCCTCCTCCTCCTCCTCCTCCTCTTCCTCCTCCTCCTCCTCCTCCTCCTCCTCCTCCTCCTCCTCCTCTCCTCCTCCTGCGGGGCTTACATAAGTTGGCACGAACGAAGTGGGTACGGAGAGAATGCGTACGATACCAAACAGCAGTTCTTGTTTCTTTTGAGCAGGGCTCGCTGGCCGCGCCGCGGCGGACGCTGTCGATTCGAGACAGGAGGCCGCCAATCCCAACAGCGGCCGCTGCCGATTTTGAAGGACATTCCCCAATCAGTGCTTGCACTGAAGTGGTCCTCGCGGAAGTTGAAGGATTTGGCGAAAGTGTCCCGCTGATTTTGGTCGCACGCTGGGTTCCCATGTTCCCGGTTCCGGGTTCCCAGGTTCCCGGTTCCGGGTTCCGGGCCGATTTCGGAGGGTGGCGAGGTTCCCGGGTTCTTGGGTTCCTGGTCGATCTTCTTATCGATCGGTCTCACCATCGATCTTTTTCCCCCCTCTATCGATCTCACCATCGATCTCACAATCGGTCTCACTATCGATCTCACAAGCGATCTTACTAGAGATCGCATGAGCGATCTCTCGATCGATCTCACTATCGATCTGATGAAATCGATGTCACTCTCGGTCTCACGATCGACCTTACAATCGTCCTCAATTTCGATCTCATGATCGATCTCACAATCGATCTCAAGATCCATAGTACTGATTTTCAAAGCATCCATTGACAGGGGTTTTCTCAGGTGTAATTTGTTTGTTGTTCGGCATCGTACGCATTTTGCCCGTACCTATTTCGAGTGTCCAGATTGAGGAGCGGGGGTCACTGCAAACGGGGTCACCCAGAGCGCCGGATCCTTGCAGGATCCTGCAGAGCCAAGCCAGGGTGCGCAGGACCCCGGCTCGCGCGCAGGGCCCTGGCTGGCGCGCAGGATCCGGCAGGATCTTGTGAGGCCCGACTGGTGGCCCGGTCTGCACCGACCAGGTCGGTCGATCCCCGACGTCGGCCGGGCGCGGCTTGGGAAATTCGGCGGCGTGATTTTGGATTCCGTTGGTGCTCGGGTTCCTGGGTCTCGGGGGCGTGCATAACACCGTAACGCGGTAAGGTGGCATCATCATCCTCATCCTCATCATCCTCATCATCCTCATCATCCTCATCATCATCATCATCACCATCACCATCACCATCACCATCACCATCACCATCATCATCATCAGCATCAGCATCATCATCATCATCATCATCATCATCATCATCATCATCATCATCATCATCATCATCATCATCATCATCATCATCATCATCATCATCATCATCATCATCATCATCATCATCATATAAATTACCCCAGTACGACCCTACCTAGAAGTTGGAGCCCCCAGGAAAGCAGCATTAGTTGCTATGCTATGCTATGCCATGCTATGCTATGCTATGCTATGATATGCTGCGCTATGCTATGCTCTGCTATGCCATGCTATGATATGCTGTGCTATGCCGTGCTGCGCTCCGCTATGCTATGCTATGTTATGCTATGCTGCGCTATGCTAGGTTATGCTGGACTATGCTATGATATGCTGTGCTGCGCTATGCTTCGCTATGCTATGCTGTGCTCTGCTATGCTAAAGCTCAGCGAAGCTAAGATGAAGGTAAGCTAAGCTAAGATAAACCTGAGCTAAGATGAAGCTAAGCTAAGCTAAGATGAAATAAGCTAAGCTAAGATGAGATAAGCAACGCTAAGCTAAGGGGACGTAGCTGGGGGAACCGCGGGGCGGATGCTGGGGGAACCGCCCGGGGCGCGTTCCACTGCCCGGCCCCTTTAAGCAAAGAGAGTAAGAACCCTTCTAGGCAGAGCCTAGGTAGGGAAAAATCAGCATACTCCTCCTCATTATCATCATCACCATCCTCGTCATCCTGTTCATCATCATCAGCATCATCACCACCACCACCATCATCACCATCACCATCACCATCATCATCATCACCACCATCACAATCACCATCACCATCACCAGCATCATCATCATCATCATCATCATCATCATCATCATCATCATCATCATCATCATCATCATCATCATCATCATGATCGTCATCGTCATCGTCATCGTCATCGTCGTCGTCATCGTCATCGTCATCGTCAGCATCGTCAGCATCGTCAGCATCATCATCACCCCCTCCACCTCATTCCTCTCCTTGTCCCCTCCCGCCGCCTCCCTCCTCGTCCCTCCTTTGCACTTTCCAGTCTTATGATTAATCCTCCTCATCCTTTCTCCCTCCTATCCCCTTGTCCTCCCCCCCATCATCCGCCTCTTTCAGGCCGGGCGAAAGGGGGGGATTGGGAAAGGGGGGGGTACGACATTTGCTGCGTGCAGCTGGTTTCGGCCTCACCGAGGGGCCCATTCCTCGATGCATGGCCGCCTCCGGCGCCGGGAGGCGCCCGGAAAATCAGCTACGTGAGCTGATTCTCACCCCCCCCCTTTGCTATCCACCCCCTTACGCCCGACCCGACTCTTCCTCCTCGTCCTCCGCCTATCTCCTTCAATGTCCCTCCGCCAGCCGTCTTCCATCCCCTTCTTCTGCCCTCTTCGCCATTCCCCTTTCCCCCCTCATCCCTCGCTCTTCGCTCCTTCTACGCGTCGGGCCGCACATGGCGAGGCGCAGCTGCCTCCACGAGCCAACGAAAGCGCCTCGGGAGGGAGGCGCGCTCCACATCCTCGTGCCCTCCTCCTCGTCCTCCTCCTCCTCTGCTTCCCTCTCTTCCTCCTCCACATGCTACTGCCGCTTCTCTTCCTCCTCCCCTCCTCCTCCCCCTCCTCCTCCTCCTCCTCCTCCTCCTCCTCCTCCTCCTCCTCCTCCTCCTCCTCCTCATCCTCCTCATCCTCCTCATCCTCCCCCTCCCTCCTCCTCCTCCTCCTCCTCGGTGGCTTGGCGCCCGCGCCGCCCCGCCCCCCCCCCCCCCCTCCCCCATCGCGCGAGCCATAGCCCCCTCGCCAGCGGCCCGCCTTCGGTGGGCGCTTGCTGCTGCTGGAGCTGGAGCGGTCCCGCTCCCCCGCCCGACACCGCCGCGCACGGCGTCTCCGTGCTGGTGCGAGGGCCATGCTCCGCTGTGCTGCCGCGCGGAAGCGGCTCGCCGTGCACCACGGCGATCGGCCCAGCGACGCCGACGGCCGCACGGCCCAGCCGTCGCCGCGGCAGGCCACGTCTGGCGCTGGGCAGGGTCTTGTGTGGGCTTGCACCGCAAAGCGGCTCTGCGGCGTCCGCAACAACTTCGCGTCGAGGGGGGAGGGTTTGAGGTGCGGCCGTGAGCGTGCAGGACGCCAGCGGGAGGCCGTCCCCGCGCCAGGTGGCGCGCGCTCGGCGTCCGCTGGCCGCCGCCGTGGCTCTGGCCCTCCTGCTGGTGGCCGCGTTCCCCCTCCTGGTGATGCTGCTGCAAACGAGCCCGTCAGACCCGACGTGGCCCGCGCACGCCTGGGGCTCCTGGCCTTGCAGCGGCTCAAGTACGACGACGAGCACACTCATCGTGGCGGCCAAGAGCGACCTGGCTGCCTTGGGGGCCGCGAACCGGCGCACTCAGCCGCCCGCCCGAGCGCCCCCTTTTCCCCCTGCAAGAGCGCCTCGACGAAGCCAAGGGCAGCGCTGACCAGGTGGCGGCCTCCCTGGCCGAGGCTCTTGCCACCGTGGACCGCCTCCGCCAGCAGCAGGCCGCCTGCGCAGCGGAGGTTGCCACGCTGGAGGCCGAGGTCGTGGCTGCCCAGCGCGCGGTCGCCGCCTCCGCCGCCGGGAGCAGCGGGGTCGACTTGGCAAATCTCGCCACCACGCTGGTCGGTCTCCAGGCCCTCCTCAGCGCTGCCCCCGCGCGAGTCGCCAGTGGCACGGCGTCGACGCCAGGTGCTGGCCAGGCCAGTGCCTCGGCCCCCGCGGCGCGGGCTCCCGCGGCGCCCATGCCGGGCGCTGCTCCGCCCCCCCCCCCGGCGCTGCTGGAGGCGCACGCGGGGCCACCGCCCCCGCTGCCGCGCCTGGCGCCCCTTCCCCTGCGACCCCCGGCTCGGCCGCCGCCGCCTTTCGCGCTGGCGGGGGGGCCGCCGCCGCGGCATGGGATGACCTCGGCATGGGGGACAAGGGCGACTAGGGGGCGAGGGCGCCGCGGCGGTGCGAGGCGGAGTGCTGGCCTGATCACGTTCAACGGACCGCCTGGAGCTCTGTGACCAGCATGTCCTCGCGGTGGCGGCCCAGGAGCTCCGCGTAAACGGCGACGAACTCCGTCGCGCGAAGGCCTAGCGCGCGCGCGCTGGCTGGCATGCGGCGCCGTCACCCTGCAGCCGGCCCGCCTCGGGCATGCCCTCAGCAGGCGTGGGCATCTTCGTCAGACGGCACAGCGACGTCACCACCAGGCAGTTTTGATGTGGCGCCGAGCTTCACGTTCGCGTGTCACGCGTACTTCGGCATCAGGGGTGGTCTGATTCTTGCGTCGGCGGATTTCGAAGTGGGCCAGTGGGACAATGGCGGCAATGCGTCCGCTGGCGACTTCAATTGCGACCCGCCCCGCATGGACGTAGGCGGCTTTCTGGATTTCATGCGTGCAAGGGTCGCGGCAAGGCTATCGCTGAACGTGGGCGCGCGTCGCAGTGCTCAGGGCAACTACTCCAACGTCGACTTCTGGTTGGCTAGCCCGTCCGTCGCGGGCTCGCTGGCGCCGCCACGTCTTGTGCAGGGCTGGCCCGCGGCCCCGCGCTTCCTGGCGGCGACGCGCCTAGGCGCGCTCGCCAAGGCGGTCAAGTTCCCGCTGCTTGTTGGCCCCAAGTCCTCTCCGAAGGCGGCCCCTGATGATGAGGCGGCGGCGGCCCCCGGCGCGAACCAGCAGCAGGTCATCGATTGCGACGGCGCCCCGGGGTGCGAGGCCATGGCGCACCCTGCACAAGTGAGACTAGACGATCTCCACTCGGCGTTCATGCGCGCCGCTGAGGAGGAGCTCATCGCCCACCACGGCACCCCCGACGCCGACGCCGACCGTTATCGCGGCAGGGCGGGCAAGGTCGCCCACCGCCGGCGTCAGGCTGGAGGCGCCCCCGCAGCCGATCGGCCCGCCGCGCCCCCCGACGCCGGGCGCCCCAGGCGCCCCGCCCAAGCTGCCGATGATGCGCTTCGCGCTGAGATGCAGCCGCTGCTACCACTTCGGCGCTCGGACAGACTCGTCTCTCCGGGCGCCGAAAGGTGTTTTTATTCGCAGGAGCCGCAGGAGTGTCGTGACGTGGTCAATTTGATGCGAGGCCTCCAGCCCGCGGTGCGCGGCATCCTGGAGGATGACTTGCGGGGCTTCAATGCCCCGCTGGAACACCAGTCGGGGGCTGCGCCTGATCCTGGTGCGCTACCAGGCCCTGGCCCGCTCTACGTGGGCCCTGCAGTACCTGGCACGAGCTCTGGCACGCCTCTTGGGGAGCTCGAGCGTGAACCTGGCCCGCTCTACGGGGTCTCTATTGTACCTGGCGCGAGCTCTGGCCCGCCTCTCGGCGAGCTCGAACGTTGGCCTGGCCCGCTCTACGTGGCCCTGCAGTGTCTGCCACGTGCTCTGGCCCGCCTCTCGGGGAGCTCGGACGCGCCCGTGGAGGGCGTCCACGGGCCGCGCGCTTCGCCCGCGCAGTTGGCGCCCCCGTGCGAGCTGGCGCGCGCCAGGGGCCCGCCGAAGCCGCCGCCAAGGCCGCCGGGGGGGGGGGGGGGGGGGGGCGCGCAGGCGATTTCGCCCACGCAGCCAGCGCCTCCGCGCGAGCTGGCGCGCGCCAGCGGCCCGTCGGGGCAGCGGCCGAGACTGCTTCCGGGAGGGCTGATGCGCACGACGCCGAGTTCGGCGTTGGCTGGCCCGTCGACACCCTGGACGTGGATTTGGAGGCCGTCGCGGCGCCCGTGGGCCCTCCGAGCGCCACGGGCCCGAGGGTCGCCGCTGGCGCGAGTCTGGGAGATCGCGCCGTCGCTGGCGGGGCGATGGGGCGGGTCCGCAGCAGCCCGGGGGGGGGGGGGGGGGGGGGCCGATGACGCGCTGGTCTGGGCGGGTGGGGAGCAGCTCACCAAGCGCACTATAGCCCCGCCCCGAGGAGACCAGGTACCTTTCGACGAGGCCGCCTCGACGCCCGGCAATAGCTCTGGCCCGCTTCTCGGGGTGCTCGGGCGCACCTGCGCTGACGCCCCTTTTCCTCCTGAAGGCGGGCGCCAAGTCCCGCGGAAGCTCCCGCGCGAGGGAACACCGCGGGCACGCAGTCGCTTTGTTTTGCCGGAAGGGCCCCTGCGGAAGCCCCCACAGGAGGGAACACCTCAGGGGCTCGCATCGCCATGGGGGCGCACAGGAGGACCACTGACAAGAAAACTATTGTCCCGCAGGTACGTGGCGCAGGGGATAGTCTTAGTGCTGGAGGGCTTGTCGTGGCCCAACGTGACCGACCTGCTGCCGGTGACTGCGGCGGCATAGGCCTTGCCCGGGGAGGAGAAGCGCGCGGCGCAGTGGTTAGTCGCGGTGGGGGCTGCCATCACAGCGCCCACGTGTCGGACCTGACCCGCGGTGGCCTGGCCAGGGAAGGCGGTGCTCGTGGCGTAGTGGTTAGTCGTGGTGGTGACTGTCACCACAGTGCCCACAAGTTTGTGCCCGACCCTGGGCCGCTGCCTGGCCCGCAGCTCGACGCATACGCCTACTCGCCTGGCTGCTGCCCGCGGGTGGACCTGGTGGACCTGCGGGAGGCGGCCATCGATGCCGTCTGCGCTGCCATCGCCTGATGACAAGCGCTAGAGGACAAGGCTGTGGCTGGGAGACGCCGTGCATTCGCGCAGCGGGCCGCTGAGTGTCACAACAAGCGCTCGAGGCCGGTCTTGAGCTTCACCAGGCCCCCTGGTGTTCCACACTCCCAAGTGCTGCGTCACGGACGTCATTCCACCATAGCACAGGATGTCGCTGATGACCAGATGGGTGGGTGGTCCCGCATCTGGCACGCGCAGGCCGTCTCCGACATGCCCGCGCTGGAGTCGGGGGAGGGGGCCGGCGCTGGTGATGACTGTTTTGGCGCGCGGCACCTCAATGATTTATGTTGCACCGCTGAGGTCATGGATGACATTCGTCGGCCTCCCATGGCCTCGCTTCCCGTGCCGAAGGTAGGCCACGTCAGGGTCGCTGCCAAGCCCTTCAGGTGGCACACTGGATAACGAGCTGATCGGCTGTTTTCTCGTGCCATCAGGCTCCGCACGGACGACGCCATTGCACTCCTGGTGTCCATCTTGTGGCTGGTCGGGTACTGGAAGAGGTGGCCGACGCAGACGATGGCCGTCCACATCGTGCTGCGGGCCAAGCCGAAGGGTGGGTGGCGACCCATCGCGCTTCTGCAGGCGACCTACCATGTCTGGCCCCAGGCGCGGGCGCAGCAGTTGCGGACTTGGCCCCTCGAGCATGACAGGCCCTACTTCGCGCTGGCGACGGGCAAGACCTCGTGGCAGTTCGGGCCCTGCTACGGCCGAGGCGTCGCTCGCGTCCGACGGCGGCATCGCCCCCGCGATCGTGGACACCGAGAAGTGATTCGACCGCAACTGGCGGCGTCAGTTGGTGGCCGCAACGGCCAAGCATGACTTCCCGAGGCAGCTGCTCTCCGCTGCCCTGGCCATGCACCGCTCCCCGCGGCGCCGGGTGTGGCTGCAAGCTACGTCGCATGCAGTGGCGGTCCAGCAGGGGGTGCTTCCCGGTTGCAAATTTTCCACGGCCTTTGTTCAGCTTTTGATGGTGACAGGCATGGGCCAGTTCATGCTGGAGGCGCGGCTACTTGAGCAGTATCCTGGTGCCCCCTGTCTTTTTCCCTGGATGGTTTCGCTGATAATTTGACTCTGAAGGTGGTGGCCAAGAAGGAGCTTCAATCGCTTATGCCGCGTGAGGCTACCCATCATGTGCGCAACGCTCATCGACCTGGGGCTGCCCGTCGCCAAGTCCCAGGCCATGCTCGCGGCGTCTGACGCCACTGTCGCCTCTGTTGTCGCCTCCAAGTTGAGGCGATATGACTGTCGTTCGCAGGCCTGGCTCGAGGTCCTGGGTCTGGAGGTCGGAGCTTGGAAGAAATCCACGGGCCTGGTCCTGCGTCGTCGTGCACGCGAGATGGCCAAGCGCCCCAGGCACTTCAGCGGCCGAGCACGCTCGGGGCAAGTGCAGGAATATTGCGCGTGCAGCAGTGGGCCCTGCCATCACTTACGGCTTGGGCGTCGTTGGCGCTGCCCCGAACATCGTCAAGCGCATGACCTCGCCGGCGAAGCAGGGGTGGCAGGCCATTCCACTTGGCTGCTCGCGTTGGGTGGCTTCGTGGCTGGTTCCTGCTCCTGGCCACCAGCCTGCCGCCATCTCCACCGTCGGCCCCATCTACACCTGGGCGGTCAAGAGACGTGGACCTTGCTTCGGTGCATTTGCATGGAGGAGTTAGTTTTTGTCGATTGCTTCGATGTCCTTGAATACTAGCTGGAAGTATGGTCGCGGCTCCGCGGGTGCCTCTGCTCGCTCGTTGCTCACGTTGGGGTGGAAGTATTCCTCTGCTCTCAATGTGTGCACGCTGAACAGTGGGGCCCGGGACCTGAGGGATGCGACTCCAGCGCTGGTGAAGTGGATCGCGTTCAAGGACTACGAGGCACACAGCTGGCTGCAGTGGCCACAGAAGCCCGACGTTATGCCCGAGATCCCGGGCCCTTCGCACAAGGGTCCTGCAGGCGCTTGGCTGGCACTGATGAGAAGCATGCTGCATGCTGGCCCTAAGGCCAAACGCTGGGTGCTGGATCCTGAAGCGAGGGCAGCGTGGCGCACCGCTGCGCTTGATGGACATTTCTTGCAGAAAAAGGTTGGATCAGTACGCTTATGCCGAAGGCGAGGGCTGTCGGAATTGACCCGGCGTGCGTGCGTGCGTGCGTGGCACGCTGCATCACAGGTACTGGGCGTGTCTTTTTTATGACCTGCGTGGCACGCAGTGGCAGGTGCCAATTTGGCAGCTGCTTGCGGCACAGTTCCTTGTGATCTGCTGCACTCGCGTTGGCTGTTCCCCAACTCCTTCTTGCATGTCCTTCCCCCATCGCAATGATTGCGCGGCTCGGTGCTACGACCGCGGTGCCAGAGCCGAGGACCAATTCTATGTGACTGGATCTGTAATTCACGGACGGCTCTTGCAAGAAGCTTCTGCGTTGGGACGTGGCCGGCCGCGCTGGATGGGGCTCCGCGGCGGCGGGGGATGGCAGGTGCTCTTGGCGCCGCCTTTGGGCCTCTCCCTGGACCTCGCAAAACCTCAGAGCGTGCTGAACTGTGCGCAGTACTGCAGGCCTCGATGGTGGGAGTGGCCCCGCTGCAAATTTGCGCGGACTACATGCCGCTGCTGGAGGTTTCCAGCGAGGGCGACGCTGGCGCACTTCTCCTCGGCGCCAGAATACGAATGCATGGAAACGCATATGCCATTACATTGATGAGCATGGCGGCGTGACCCTGGATGGGGATTTGGAGGCGCCGATGCACGCATCTCATGTGGAGGGTCACTCCAGGGCCGGCACACGGGAGAGGAGACGCAACGACCTGGCCGATGCGGCGGCCAAGCGGGGACGGCGCATCCACGACCTCCCTCGGGCCATCGCCGAGGGGCACAGCGACGCCATGCAGCATGCGCGCCAGGGCGCAGCCTGGATCGGCACATCCCCCCGCGCGGCCTTCGACGGCGCCGCGCTGCCCGACCGCGACCGCGCGCCGAGGCGCCAGGCGCCGCGCAGCTCCCCTGCGCCGCCGCTGGGGACAACAGCAGCGGGCGGAACAGCCAGGCGCCGCTCGCGCAGGTGCCCCTGCGCCGGTGCTGCGGCCTGGCGGCGAGGCCCCCGCCTCCCCTCCCCGCGCCGCGCGCGGCGCAGGGGCCGAAAGTTGTCTTCTGATCGTTGCGCCGCTTTCGCGGTCTCCGTCCAAGGCGTTGCGGGACCCAGGCGGGGCGCGCGCAGGACGGCCGAGGCGGCGGCCTTCGGGGGCATGGAGGGCGCTTCGCTTGAGGCTTCCCGCGCGGCTTCTGGCCCGGACGGCGCGAGCGATTTGGGGGTTGTCTGCGGGGGCCAAGGGCCCCACCCGAGGCCAGTGCGGCGGCTGGCCCTGCCGATGCCGCCGCCGACGCGGAGGGGCCTCAAGCGGTCTCTGGCGTTTCAGCGGGCGCGGTTCAGGACGGAGGGGGAGCGCTGGGACGAGGACCTCGATGAGGCGGCGGGCAGGCTGACCAAGGCCGCTCGCCCCCGAGGCTCCGAGCAGCCCGCGCCCCCTTCCTCCGCCCCCCACTCGCGCGCCAGGACGGGGGGGGCGCCGTGGAGGACTGGTCCTCTGGTGGGCCGCGCCCGAAGGCCCCTCGGCCCCTGGCCACGCCCCCCGCCGTCGGCCCTCGTGAGCCCCACCCCCTGGCGGCCCTTGTGGGCCTCCGCCTTGCAAGAGGGCCCGAACCTCTGGGGGCCCGCTGCGGGGGGGGGGGGGGCCTGGGCCGCGCGCGATGCCGTTATCCCTGATCCCCCCCCCCCCGCTCAAGGCCCTGTTGGGCCCAGTAGCGCTCGGGGACACCAGATCCGCCTTGCTGGAGCTATCCTTGCATTCCGCCTTCGGCGCGGCGCGCGGGCCCAGCCGACGGCCACTGCGAGGGCATTGCATACAGCAAGGACGCCGCCTACATTAAGTCCCTCGGGGCGGGTGAGAACCCATCTCGGGGGAGTGGCGGGGGGGGGGCCCTGCCCACTTCTGTCTACGGACGATGCATGCCTGTGGTTTCGTTTTAGATGTTGTTCGGGCTATTGTCCGATCCCGTCGAGCTGCGCGTGCTCGTCCTTTCTCCTGCTCGTTCTCTGCTTCTGCTGCTGCTTTGCGCACTCTTTTCGGTGTGGTGGTGTTTCCTCCTCCTCCTCCTCCTCCTCCTCCTCCTCCTCCTCCTCCTCCTCCTCCTCCTCCTCCTTCCCCTCTTTCTCCTCCTCGTTTTCTTTGGCCCCGAGCAGGCGAAAATAATTACCGTCGACAACATCGGAGCTCGAAGCTCCCCCTCCTCCGTACGGAGACAACCAAAAGGGGGGCGCCTCAGGAGGGAAACCAACACATTGACACAATGAATCGTCGATTTCCAGAAAGATATTGGAACATACGGGAAATGGGGGGACAACGAAAACCCATAAAACATATGAACATGTTGGGGGACCTGGGCTTTGTGTGCATTTAGTTGTGTGTCCCTGGGCGCCTTCAAAGCCCCCGATCCGCCGCCCCCCCCCGCGGTCCTGCTCACGGGGGAGCTCCCCAGCCTCCGCGGCAGCGGCCCGCGCGGCGGCGTCCACGGCGTGGCGGGGGGCGTGCAGCTGCAGGAGCTGCTCCCGGGCGCCGGGCTCGCGGACGCGGTGCCGAACGACTTTTGGGGTCGCTGGGGGGCTCTCGCTCGCCTCCTCCACCGCCTCCTCCCCCTCCTCATCCTCATCCTCATCCGCCTCCTCCTCCTCCTCCTCCTCCTCCTCCTCCTCCTCCTACCCTCCTCCTCCTCCTCTCCTCCTCCTCCTCCTCACCCCCTCCTCCTCATCCTTCCTCTCCTCTCTCCTCCTCTCATCCTCCTCCTCCTCCTCCTCCTCCCTCCTCCTCCTCCTCCCTCTTCCTCCTCCTCCTCCTCCCCCTCCTCCTCCTCCTCCTCCTCCTCTACCGCCTCCTCCCTTGTCCTCCTCCTCCTCCTCCTCCTCCTCCTCCTCCACCTCCTCTACCGTGCCGCCTCCTCCTTGTCCTCCTGCTCCTCCTCCTCCTCCTCCGTCCTCCTCCACCTCCTTCTCCTCCTCCTCCTCCTCCTCCTCTCCTCCTCCTTTTCCTCCTCCTCCTCCTCCTCCTCCTTCTCCTCCTCCTCCTCCTTCTCCCTCTTCCGCCGTCACCAAAGTAATCCTTCACTGCGGGGTGTGCAAGGTTTCAGATGAGGGGTCTGCATTGTCCTCCTCCTCCTTCTCCTCCTCCTCCTGTTCCTTCTCCTGTTCCCCTGTTCCTCCTCCTCCTCCTTTTCCTCCTCCTCCTCATTTTCCTCCTCCTCCTCCTCCTCCTCCTCCTCCTCCTTCTCCTACTGTTACTCCTCCCTGTCACCAAATTCACACATCACTGCCCCACAAGGTTTCAGATGCGGGGCCTGCCTCCTCCTCCACCGCCTCCTCCTTCTCCTCCTCCTCCTCCTCCTCCTCCTCCCCAGACTTCACCAAGGAGTGTCGGGAGACCTTCCAGCGCATCGGGCGAGGTCTTCGTGGCCACAGTTGCCCCATGGCACCCGTCTTGGAGGCTGCCGTCAGCCGCGTGCGGCGCGATCAGGCGCGGCGCATGGTGTCTGGCGCGTTGTACGTTGCGCAGTGCCCGCTGCCACAGAGACTAGCGCCCAGGACACTTCAGGACACTTTTTCCGTGGCAGCAGTGACCACGTGGCACCCGTCTTGGAGGCTGCCGCCAGCCGCGTGCGGCACGAGCAGGCGCGGCGCATAGTGCTTGGCGCATTGCACGCTGCGCAGTGCCCACTGCCACAGAGACTGTGGCGTCGAGGACACTTCAGGACACTCCTCCGCCTCCTCCTCTTCATCCTCCTCCTCCTTCTCCTCCTCCTCCCTGTCACCAAATTCACACATCACTGCCCCCCAAGGTTTCAGATGAGGGGCCCGCCGCCTCCTCCTCCTCCTCCTCCTCCTCCTCCTCCTCCTCCTCCTCCTCCTCCTCCTCCTCCTCCTCCTCCTCCTCTTCCTCCCTGTCACCAAATTCACCCATCACTGCCACCCAAGGTTTCAGATGAGGGGCCTGCCTCCTCCACCGCCGCCTCCTCCTTCTCCTCATCCCCAGGCTTCACCAAGGAGGGTCGGGAGAGCTTCCAGCGCATCGGGCGAGGTCTCTTCCGGCCGTGGCCACAGTAGCCCCATGACACCCGTCTTTGAGGTTGCCGCCAGCCGCGTGCGGCGCGATCAGGCGTGGCGCAAGGTGCCTGGCGCGTTGTACGTTGCGCAGTGCCCGCTGCCACAGAGACTGGCGCCCAGGACACTTCAGGACACTTCTTCCGAGGCCATAGTGGCCCCGTGGCACCCGTTTTGGAGGCTGCGGCCAGCCGCATGCGGCGCGATCAGGCGCGGCGCATGGTGCCTTGCGCGTTGTACGCTGCGCAGTGCCCGCTGCCACAGAGACAGGACACGCCTCCTCCCTCCTCCTCCTCTTTCTCCTCCTCCTCCTCCTCCTCTTCCTCCTCCTCCTCCTCTGTTTCCCTTATGCAGTGACCACCCACTTGGCTTGCCAGGCATTGCGCGCCGCCTGGCTGTCCGTCCGTCCGTCTGTCTGTCTGTCTTCCCGGCTCTCTGAGCCGCGGCGCTTTGAGCTTCTTAGTTCGGGGACGCGTCGGCCACCGCCGTCCTCTCCCTTGTCGGTGGCCCTGACGAGGTTGGGGGAGAGGGTGCCGAAACGCGCCCAGAGTCCAGCAAGGCATGAGGGTGCAAACCCGACTTGTCTGGCTGATGCTCTGGGGGGGCCTGTGCTCAGGGGAGGCTGCAGCACCGCTCAACGATGTGCTGTTTAACCGAACCTGCAGGGTGGGCCCTTTCCCAGATCCGTGCTTCGGTGCGGATCGTAAGCGCGCCTCGTCTCCGTCGTCGTCGTCGTCGTCGTCGGCGTCGTCGTGGTCGTGGTGCGTGTTGCTCTGCTCGGGATTCTGTTTCCCTTATGCAGTGACCACCACCACCACCTCCTCCTCCTCCTCCTCCTCCGCCTCCTCCTCCTCCTCCTCCTCCCCCCAGGCCTGCGGCTTCAAAGGGTATGCTTATGCCCGGGTGTGGTTTGCGATTGGCACCGTTGGGGCCTGGAGAGCACGACGCTGTCCTCGTCGGGCATCTTCGGGGCGCTTCGGAGAGCTCTGTCAAGGTCCTCGCCCGCCCCTCAGGGTGCCCACCCAGGGTGCCGGTTGCAAACCACACCCTGACGAAGCAGGAACCCTCGAGGCTTGTTCCTCGTACCCGCTGGAGTGCGTTAAGCTGCGATCGTAGGAGCAGGACGATCGCAGCCGCGGCCACCACGGGGTGCTGCCGAGACAACACACACACACACACACGAGTTGCGCAACACGTTTTGTGCCACTGATTGGGCAGACAAACCTCGAGGCTTGATCCCCTCCTCATCTTCCCCCTCCTCGCCCCCTCTTTTCGGGGACACGTAAGACTCGAGTACGCCGGAACTCGGGTTGGCCGACGCTTTTTGACGAGAGTGTCCTGGATTTTGACGGTCCAGTTTTTGTGGGATGTCTCCAGCGGGAGCTCGCGTCAAATTTCAGACTTGGTCTGGTCATTTTCATGATGGCCCCGTCGGGCCAACCCGAGTCCCCCGAACCCGAGTCTTACGTCTCCCCGATCTTTATGCGGCGAAAGCCGAACCCTGCCCTCGCCGATCCACGTTTCAGGCCACTCGATGGGCGGCCCGGTCAGGGTCCGGAAGTCGTCGAACGCGTAGCGAAATCCGAAACCTACACTTGCCTCCCGTCGGTTCAGGAATCGATGGTTGTCAGAGCCCCGAATCATCAGGGGTAATTCGGGTCAGGGCTAACTCGGGTACGCTTTTCAGAATTCCGAACCCTAGTTACCCCGGGCCCGAGTTACCCCGGATAATTCGGGCGCCCAGAGCCCCAATTCATCAGGGGTAACTCGGGTCAGGGCTAACTCGGGTTCGTTTTTCGGGAATCCAAACCCGAGTTACCCCGGACCCGAGTTACCCCGGATAACTCGGGCGCCCAAGGTTGGTGGGTGTAAGGTTCGGATTTCGCCACCTCCTCCTTCCCAGACCCCCTCGCGTCATGACGTCAAAAATTGGTCTCCCAGATGGGGTCAGGCAGATGGTGTCGGAGGATCGCGCCGCATCGCCGATGCGTTGGCGATGCGGCCCGATGTGGAGCCCGATTTTCTCTGCGCTGGCGTCGTCGATGTACCGCCAACGTCGCCGGTGCATCGGCGATGCGGCGCGATCCTCCGACCCCATTCACAAAGCAATCCCGGGTAAAAAACGGGTCCTGGGGAAGAGTGCGAGACCTTTGGAGGTTTACGTTGTGAAGAAGATATCGCGACGTCGGCTTTCTGAGTCCTCGTCCTCCTCCTCCTGCTCCTTCTCTTCCTCCTCATCCTTCTCTTCCTCCTCCTCTCCCTCCTCATCCTGTTGCTTCTCCTGCTTCTCCTCACCTCTCCTCTTCGCGAGGGAGAGTGGGTGGAGGGAGAGGGGGAGGGCGTGGCATCGCTCGGACGTGTCCAGCTGTTCCTCGGCGACGGTCATCGAGGAGCATCCTGGACATCTCGTGAAACAAAAAACGCACGAAATTGACAAATGCAGTAGGAATGGAAGTCCGAGCGATGGCAAGGGGGTACGGTAGGCTCATGCGGTGATGGCGCGCCCGCGACGCCAGCGAGGGCGTTCAAGGTTGAACGCTGCGGGCGCATTGAGGGGCACGGCATCGCAACAGGACCTGACAGAATTCAACCTCGAACGGTCGGGGCCGCGGTCGACCCAGGGTTGAGCGATCGACGCGGTGTCGCAAAAACTTTGGCGCGTGCCGACGGCCCACGAGCCTGCCGCAGTCGTGCGGTCTGGTGAGCTCTCGGAGGTTTCCCGGCCCTCGGAGGTTCCCCCGCCCTGGGGAGCACTCCCGGGGCGCCCCGGCCACCCCGATCGGCCGCGGGAGGTGCCGGCCATGGCCCGAGGACCAGTCGGGGGGCCCCACGAAGGAAAGCGTGCGCTTGACGGCCAGACCGAGGCAGGAGATCGAGGTCGGCGCGTGCTTCGGACCCACACGGTGGGGTGGGGGCGAGGGGGGGGGGGGGCGTGCGTCACGTCGTGCCCTCCCCCGCCCCCCCCCCCTTCTCCCCCCCTCTCCCCTCTTCCCCCATGACGCCAAGTATCGCCGCCCCCCCCCCCCAAAAAAAAGCTCCACAGCACCGACTGGTGACTCCATTGGGGGTTCGGGGTCGCCGCGCGGTCCGGGGGGCTTCGGTCGTTCTCCGAGGATGTCTCGCGTCGCCGGGGCCTCCGAGGCTCGGAGCCATGCGGCGACGGGCCGCGCGGTTAGGTTTTACCAGGGGTCCGAGGTCACCACGCGGTCCGCCACCACACGGTTCTGAGGTCCAGAAACCAGACGCCCATCGTGTTTGAATGCAGCAAGACGGAGGTTGAGGAGGATTCCTCTTCGGTGGGCATGCTGGTGAGAGAGGGAGGAAGAGAAGGAGGGCGAGGTGGAGGAGAGAGAGAGAGAGAGGAAGAGGAGAAGGGGGCAGGCGGAGGAGAAGGATGGCCAGAGAAAGCCCAAGATGCGTCAACGATGTTGCAATGCACTCCCGTCCGACATTACTCGAAAGACCAGCACCCCGATGGGCCTGCCATTGAGGCGAGAGCCCCGTTTTGAGAAGGAATTGGCTTGCAGACTTCCAGCGAGTGGTTCGGACCGCGCAAAAAAATTAGCATACAGTTCAACGAGGTGTCCAGCGAGACCCTCGCCTTGAACTGCAACCGCGCCCCACCTTTGTAACTCGCGCACGAGCTCGCACTTCTGGTCACGGGCGTCGAGGAAGTGTCAAGCGGTGGCCCCATGTTGAAAAGGAACCACCCTCCATGCATGCAGGCGTTGAGTATGTTCAAGCTGGCAGGTTTAAATGCCAGAAGTGTCTCAAGCCAAAGCCTGATGTTGACAACCATTCACCCTTTTGAAACTGCTGCAAACCTAAAAGACGACTGCGTGCGGCGCTAAGGCGAGCGCCCCATGTTTTAAAGGAGCTGGCCTCTGTTCTTGATGCTACTGCAATATGAAGACTACTGTGCAGGGCGCTGAGGCGAGAGCCCCGTTTTGAAAATCACCCCCATACCCCTCCATCTTTGAAGCTGCTGCAACATGTTAAGGCAGATGTGCGCGGCGCTAAGGCGAGCGCCTCATTTTGATAACGAGCCCCCCTCCGTCTTCGAAATTGTTGCAAACATGTGAAGGCACATGTGCTCGGCGCTACCGACCGAGCCCCATTTTAAAAACAATTGCTTCCACCTTTGAAACTGCTGAAATCGTTTAAGACCCTTGTGTTCGGCGCTGAGATGAGAGCCACAAATTGAAAACGACCCCCACCCTATCGATACGCTTGGGGGCGCGACAGGGAAGAGTTGTTTATAATGAGAAGGGATGCAGGAAGGGTCAAGAGGAGTGGGGATGAGGGGGAGGAGGAGAAGCGCGGAGGAGGAGATGGACGACGACGACTACCAACAGGCTGGGCGAGGCAGGAGGCGGGAGCAGAAAGGGTAGCAGGGCGCTGAGGAGGAGAAGGTATACACGCTGACACTGACACTGGCCGGGCCCCTCCTTCCCCCATTATTGGTGAACAGAGCCTCGTGGCATAGGACGGGAGGGGCTCTACGCCAGCCCTGGGCTGGGGAGGGGTACTGCCAGATTCACGCCTGGTGCACGGCGGCTGGTTGATTACTTAAGCATACACGACATCCGTCTCTTCCTTGCCCTTCCCCCTCCCCCTTCCTCTCACTTCTCATCCTCACTATCTCTCCTCCCCCTTATCTTCCTCCCCTTCCTAGCTCCACGACGCATCCACGACCTCCCATTCCCCCTCCCCACTGCGCCCCCACCTTCGTGCACAAGATCATCCCCCCTCCTCCCCCTCTCCTTCTTCCCAATCCACGACCTCGTTCCCCTCCCCGCCCTCTTCCGTCCCACGAACTCCGCCCCCTCCTCACCCTCCACCCCCCTCGCAGTCCTCCCCGCAGGCATCCACGACCTCCTGCTCGTCGGCTATCGCGCGCACTTCATGAACGAGGGCTCCGCAGGCAAGGCCGCGGTGCAGGCGGCGGCGGTGGACCTCGCGGCGCTGCTGCCACAGGTCGAAGGGGGGGGCGTGTGCGGCTGCTGCGGCCCTCTCTGCTGCTGCTGCTGCCGCCCTGGGTGCCCACAGGTCAGGCGATCGCAAACATGGATCCAGGGGGGGCGTGGGTTCGCGACGGGCCCCGTTTCCAAGGGAGGTCGCCGATCCCCGCCGCCGAGGGAGGGGCGGCACCGGCCGCAGCTTGGGGAGGGCACCTCCGGAGATCCATGGACTTGGCGACCGCGCGCCAAATCCGTGGATCGCTAATCCATGTCTGCGCGCCCCCGACACCAGGGTCGCACTCGTCGGCACGAGCTGTGGCCCGATCGCCCGAAGGCCACCGGCAGGGGCCCCGAAGGACGTGCGGCATCGGGGGTCCGCCAGAGGGGGAGGGGGACACGGGCCCAAGATCGGATCGGGCGGTGTCGCCACCGGGGGCCCCTCGCGATGCGTCGATGCTCAGGAGGGGAAAAAAGCACGCAGACACTATCAATCGTCGATTCCCCAGGAAATATGGGAAAGTATGGGAAGTGGGGGGGAAGACAAAAGCCCAGAACATACACGAAAATATTGGGAATCCTCTTATTGTAGTGGCCTCTGGCCAGTGCCGCCGATCCGGGACGCTCCGGATGATGGTGATGATGATGATGATGATGATGGTGATGTGACGATGGTGATGGTGATGGTGATGGTGATGGAGATGGTGATGATCCCGGCCCCCCCTCCCCACCTCCCCTCCTCTCTCCTGTCCCCCTTCCCCTCTCTCCTGTCCCCCCCACCCCCCTCTCTCCTTTCCCTCCCCCCCCCCTCTCTCTCCTGTCTCCCCCCCCTCTCTCTTGTCCACCCCCCTTCCCTTCTCCCCCCCCCTCCCCCCCCCCCCTCTATCTCCTGTCTCTCCTCCCCCCGCCTCTCTCTTGTGTCCACCCCCGCTTCCCTTCTCCCCCCCCTCTCTCCTGTCCCCCCCCCTCCCCCACCTCTGATTCCATCGCTGTCCCCCCCCCCCTCTCTCCTTTCCCCCCCCCTCCCCTCTCTCCTGTCCCCCCTCCCCCCCTCTCTCCTGTCCACAATTATTCAATATGAATACTACTCTCCCTCTTCCCCTGATGACATCTTTTGCGTATTCGCCCCCCCCCCCCGCGTATTGTCTCTTTACACACACGATTCCCCGGAGTTGGGTTTTCTCGCCTGCATTTGTTGTTGTAAATGCTGCTGCCTCGCTGAGGCGCGGCCTCATCTCTGGCCCCGCTCGTATCCGAATCGGGGGGGGGAGGGGGGGGAGGTGCTCCCGCTGCAGCGCTGGCCTCATTTCCGTGCTTCCGCTCGTTCCGACTCGTGCTCCCGTTGCAGCGCTGGCCTCATTTCCGCGCTTCCGCTCGTTTCGACTCGTGCTCCCGCTGCAGCGCTGGCGTCATTTCCCGTGCCATGCCACGGCGTGCAATGCAATGCCAGGTTGATACTACGCTTTGCGGTGCTCTTCTACGCCATGCCACGCCGTGCTCTACAATGCATCGCGTACCCTTTCGGGATCATTGCCTTGCTTTCATCCGACTGTGCGAGTAGAGAGGGGATCTGCGCCATTGTAAGGGATGGGAGGGGGGTAGGATGCAGATATGACGCGATCGCGCCTAGCTTTCCCCACACCCATCTCCTTTCCCCCCCCCCTCCCCCGCCTCTCGTCCTTTTCCCACCCATCCCCATCCTCTTCTCCTGTCAAACACATAAGAAGCCCGCCCTCCCTCTCTCCCTTCCTCCTCCGCCCCCGCCCCCTCTCATCCTCCCCCCCCTCCTCTCGATCCTGTCCCCCCCCCCTCTCCCCGCCCACCCCTCTCGTCCTTCCCCACCCCCCCCCCCCTCTCCTCACTGTCCCCATCCCTCCCTTCCGAGGAGAGACAAAACGAATCTCAGTCCTTCCCCCCCCCCCCTCGCGTGTCAATTTCTTTCGTCGTTGGCTCCCCCCACCACTGTTGCTAGAGCGACTCTTGAGCGAGCCCACCCCCCTGCGGCGTGTCAATCTTCGTCGGCTTTCGTCGTTGCGTCCCCCCCCCCACCCCCCGCTCTTCCAGAGCGAAGCTTGAGCGAGCTCAAGCCCACGCTCTCAGAAACTCACACGCCGGATCGACGGATGTGTGTGTGTATTTATGTGTGTGTCCCTGGGCCCCTTCATTATAGCAAGGTCCATGTTAGGAAGCATCTTGACTAGTAGACGTCCGTCCATTTGGGCTCAATGAGGTTCGTTCTTGTACAGACGATCATCTCCCGCGCCACTCCGAGCTCAGAGTGTCTGCGCTTTTCCAACGATGGTTGCGTACGAGTACATGGCCGCAGTGCTCGCACTCGTAAGCGTGGAGGCAGTATGGGAGGTGCGGCTCATATGGCCCCACGCGTGTGGCGAGGGGCTGGGCAAATTCCGCCGCCCCGTCGTGTTGACATTGCTCAGCACCGTAATCGGGCTGGTGCACGTCATCCTCGAGTTGCTGGCGGACTTCCCGAAGAACCGCGTGCTCGGCGAGACAGGTGTGCCTCCCATTGTGTACAACTCCACAGCAAGCAACACGATGGTGATCGCGCCCGCGTTCCAGGGACACTGCGTCGCAGGCATCCCCCTCTTTGACTTCAGCATCGTGGTGGCCTACGGCTTCGAGACACCTCTGTTCGAGTTCGCTGCTGCGGGGTTCTTGTACACTCTTGTTGTCGAGCAGCTCGCAGCGGGCAAGCGCAAGACGACCTACGACAGCTTGCGGCGTCTCAAGAGAGCCAACACGTGGAAGGTGGTGCTGATCACGGCCGCAATCATGATGTTCAACATCGTGGGAGTCGCGTTTAACGCGACGTATTTTCTCTGCGAGAAGCGCTTGAACATGAATTTCGACCTCATGGGTTACGCTCTCACCCCCGAAGACTACCCGTTCACGTCTGAGGAGCGCGACCGCCATTCGTTGGGCCAACTGTTGTACTTCGGCGTGCTTGCCGCAAACAACTTGCGCTTTGTGATCTGGATCATGTTGTTCCGTTTGATTCGGAAGCTGAATAATTTGATCCCGAGCGACTCAGACACTTCGAACGTGGTCTCAAACACAAGAGCGGTGGTGAGGGTCGCCTGGGTGCCCCTGCTGTCCGAGGTCGTGGGATGGACATGCGCAGTCGCGGCATTGGTGGCGCAGCAGTTCCTCGACAGGGACGAAGACCAGATCGTGAATTGCATCTTCTGCTTTACGATCTGGACAACACTCAGCTTGAAGCGTCTGTGCTTCGTCCGCTCGATCTGCACCACGGCAATGCGTGATTCTGTCGCTGGGTTGAGGCAATACGTCTTGCTGCATGGCTCGGCAGAGTTGGCCGCACTGCTCGAAGACGGCGGCCAGGGCAAGGATGCGAGCGAGGCGGCGAAGGAGCTGCTCCGCAAAGGGCTCGCCGAATGCAACGGAGTCCTGCTGAGTCAGATCGGGCCAGACGCGTTCGTGCCTGGCGACACGAGTGCAGAGTTCTCTGGAGCAGTTGAGGCGACCAGCGCGGGGCCCGAGATCATCCAGTGCCAGAGCCCGGATTTCTTCGTAAGCCACAGCTGGCGGGACAGTCCACAGGAGAAATACGAGGCGCTGCGGCAAGTGTGCACCGCGTTCAAGGTGCAACACGGGCGGGAGCCCATTCTGTGGATCGACAAGTATTGCATAGACCAGAAGCGCATCCAGCAGGCACTCAGGTACTTGCCAGTCTTCGTCAACGCCGCGAAGCAGCGACTCGTCTTGCACGGGCCTTCGTACTTCAGCAGGTTGTGGTGCATGTGGGAGCTCTACGTGATGACAGTGTCCGACCCGAAGCTAGACAACGTTTTGTTCTGGTCCGTTCAGGGCCACGGCACCACCCGTCTCGGATCCGAGTTGGGCGACTTCGACGTCCAAGATGTGAGCTGCTATCGCCCCGAGGACAAGGATAAGATCCTCGCCACGATCGACTCCCAGCGGGGAGGCATGCAGGCTTTCAACAGCACGATCCGGGATGTGCCACTCAGCATGTCGCTCCTCCAGCGTAGCGCGATGTGGCGCCGCGCCTCCGGGAGGCAGAGCAAGGTCCCGTCGATCACGCTCGGCCACTCGTCGGACACGTTGGAGGTATGAAAGCAGACGATACTGCACGTACGTCCCCAGGTCGGCACGTCAGGTGATGCCCCATTGTTCGGATACGGTAGATGGCGAGCCAATTGTGCTGAATGTGTTAGTCTCGCTCTCTGCATCGCACGACTGAGGTTCAACGTGGAACGAGTGGCTCGTCATCTAACGTAGCGGCTTATCGTCCTTGCAGGGTTTCGTACCCGTAGTGGTTTGGGCTGATTTGGGCTTCCAGCTACATGGTGTCGGACTAAGGCTGAAGCCGACATGACCTGTGTTCGTTGCCGTTTGATGGAAGGGAAGTCACTCGCGCTCCCAGTGCAGTGTTCGTCAGCGTTCGGCTCTTGTTCCGCTTGTGCCCGCGCCGCCGATGCCGCCATTGGGGTTGCCTTCACATGGGGCTGACCAGAAGAGCCAACTACCCCACACGGACCCGCAGTGCCTCATTATCCCTCCCTCCCTACCCGTCCTCCCCCCTCCTCCTCTCCCTTTCCTCCTCCTCCGGCGTCGTTTCACACTTCCAGCCGAGAGCTCGAGTGGTAGGAGTCGGCGGCGAGCGAGGGGGGGAAGTGAGAAGGAGAAGGCCCTCTCAAAAGGCGGCGGGACTTCTCAGGAGCCCTCGCGCCTTCTGAGAGGCCTCCTGCGTCTCCGGGGAAGGCTCACCGAAAATTTGTCGGAAGGCTGGGGACCTCCGGGCCTTCTGGGAAGGCCCGCCCCTAGTCGTTTCCCCCCCGGGCCCGCCGCCGATGATCCTTCCCTCCCTCCTCGTCCTCCCCCCTCTCCTCTCCCTCTCCTCCCCCCTCTCCTCTCCCTCTCCTCTCCCCTCTCCGTCTCCTCCCCCCTCTCCTCCTCGTCTGTCCCTCCCTCCTCGTCCGCCCCCCTTTCCTCTCCCTCTCCCCCCCTGGGCGTCGC